TTACTTCGGGAAATCGATTCCGGCGTGATCGTTTTCTGAAAGGCGCGCGCGCGCTCGGCGCGACGTCAGAAATTCCTGAACGACAAACCGTGCGAGAGAGGAAACGAACGGTGTGGTAAAACTTTGCGCGAATCGCTCGCGGAATGCAAGTAGTCTCGAGACGCAGCGACCGTCTCTCTCTACCCTGATTAATCTTTTCATTGATCGCCCAGGTATGCATTTATAGGTGGACGCGAAGAGGGAGGTGTTCCAAGGTAAAAAGAGGGTATTAAGAATTATACGTGTGTGTTTTTATCGGAAAGATTTGTCGAGCGCGAGAAGAGGAAGTCCCGCGAGATGTACATTCGCGACTTCGTGTGAGCAAAACAGACACGCGTTCTCAAACTGTTGATTTTCATTTCTAAAATCGGCGGTCCAAAGATACCGAGCGCAGTTTGTGAAAAAAAGTTAAACAATCATCCGGTCGGCAGATAGATAAACACACGCACACACACACACACACATGCGCGCGTGAACGGATAACATCGTCACTCACGTGCGATCCTAATAGCCGCGCTTTATTGCACGCGCGTGCCACAACAACGGATAATAAATGCAGCTGGCGACAATAAACGACGCATAATTCAACGATTCACTTCGACACATGCAGGATCGGAGAGAATTTGTATGAAATCGCGTCGGTCGACGCGAACACCGACGTGATTCGGTGAGACTTGAAAAAAGAAAAAAAAGCACACGCGGGAGAGTTCGCGCCTCTCCTCTCATTCACACCGCTTTCACGGTGATCATCCTGCGCGAGCAGCTCCGCGTCGTACACACTCGAAACAACCTTGAGCGAGAATTAAAACATCTCGCCGGGTGTGTACGCAAGTTTCGCCGGGATGATAATGGAGCTCGCGGCTGTTTGTTCGCGCCGAATTTGTCGAAAGACAATATTGGCACAAACCGACTGAAATCGCCTCCGAGGAGCATTTCCAATGCACTTTGGGTGCGTCGCGCTGATGCGCACATCTCGCAGCTCTGCGCAATAACAAGCACGGATCGAGCAATAAGCGCGAGTCAAACACCGACCTTGCTTGCTCGCTCGCAATGTTCAGTCCTTTATTCGAACGCCGCTGGCGGTTCTCTCACGCTGAGAGAAAGATATTTGGTATTTGCAACTGCAATCATAGATTCGTCATAGATCTGGTTCACGTTTATATTTATTTATTTGAACCTTATTATACTTCGCGAGGTTTCTGCATTTATCAATGCTCTACAAGTAATACATTTCTGCTTATTAACGTTATCGATAAAACAGGATATAAAACATGTCCACACAGCGTTTTTTTATTCCTCCTAATACATTTTCCTAAATTACTCATGTTAACTATTTCATCAGTAAACGATAAACGTATAATAATTACTTTAGCGCAGTGCGTGCAAAAATTTATTGAACGTACGAGCATATAATCGCGCGCTTTTCATTCGTTTTTCACGTGCAGTTTCTTATGCACAAAATTATGACTAGGATTACAAGGCACTTCGTTGCGGCCTGTGAATTGGAATATCGATAAAAAGTTCTATTTATTTTATTGTATTTAATAAAAGAAGTTTTTACCGGTTTTTTCATCGGAAAACGTCAGTTTTTACCACCGGCATGGAATTTATCGAAAAAATCTAAAATTTTATCAACCTTGCATTTTGGAGATATCCTAAAACTGCTGACATCACTCAATAGAGGATGAGATATGTTTAAATCGATCGCACACTAGGCATCATATCAGCAGATTATAACTACTTGAGAGTAACATTGTCAGACGGAACGTGGAACGGAATGATCGATTGTCGGAAACAGTTTGAAATAGAACGGCAGCTGAAGTCAATGGTACGAGGCGCTCGCGTATTGTCGGCCGGACTAGACGACTCATTGTCGCGTTCATAAATTCTCGTTAGTCTCTGCTAATCGTACAATAACTCAAAGATGCTATTACACGGTCGAGAGCTTCTAACGGAAACATCACGTTATCGTCACGTATTCTGGAAAAGTTCGCTAACATATGCCGCGCGGCAGATCTAACGCGAAACTTCAACCAGGTTCCTTCCGTGACTGATTACTTTATCGATTTGAACATTTTTACGGATTATAATTATATAATACCGAAACTTCAAGAAATGTCGGATATTTCTCTTGTTGCGTTTGATTTATACGATTATTCCGATTATAAGCCGCATTACATGTATTTCTGCGAACTGCACAGAGAAAAAAGTTTCTTTAGATTTAATATTTTTGTTTATTTTACTCAAATTTGCTTCATAGAAACAACATGTATTTATACGAAATATTATTTGTTTGAATACAAATTTTACCGTCTCATTCAAGAAAACTCTATTATTTAACAGAAAGAATGCTATTATTTGAAATATCTTTTAACCAAATAAAAGATTATTTGCTTACAATAAATATGTGAAATGAAATGAATAATTTTTTTATAAGAAAATTATCTTTCGTTTCAAACAAATTTTTTATTTAAGATAAAGATACATATTCTTTGAAAAGTCTAACAATCGTACTTATTAATTGAAACATTAGTTTCTTTGGGGCATACTAATGATGCAATTCGTTTGGATGCAATGAAATTCATTAAATCTGAAGAAATCGTTTTCTCAATGTGTGATTTATTTGTAGGCCTTTACAGAAAAGGAGAAGTAAGGGTTATCATCGATTATTTCACTGAAGGTGAGAGGCTCCTTGATATTTCACAGGACGAACGATTGTTATTACTTGTGCACGAGTTAGACGGGTCACGCACTTATTTGTGACGAGAGATAGTGCCCCAACAATTCCGTAAAGTGCGCCAAATGCTTTACCCACATTTCTTGGCACGTCGTCTCAGTTGGGGATTGGCGATATAAGACCCTCGACGATGTAAATATAGCACGCGAACCTGATTTTCTATTCCTTTGTCTGTTTTACCATTTGACTCTTTCACCGATAACAATTTACGAACAAAAGTACGTTACATTAATGGGACATCGACCTGCGCACAAGTGCAATGCAAGCGAAATTCAATGGAAACGACAAATTCACTTGTATTGTAGCAAAATAGCGGGCGGCACCTTTGAAGTCCTCAATGGGACCAAACAGGACAGGTGATTCACAGACGAAGTGAATAACATCGAGTGAGAGCGTTGTGCGTTAAAAACATTGCAGTCAAGGGCTCGATTCTTGAATCATTTGTAATTAATTCGTATGTGTAATTTGCGAGTGATTTTACGGAAAAACAGTATATCACTCAAAAGTTACATATATGAGTAATTACGAATGATTGAAAAAGCGAGCCTCAGAAATGATCGCAATTTCTAGCGCGCGCCGAAGCTAACGACAATTAACCCCACGTGCAATGAGTTTTAACTGCGCAATGTATGAAAACAAGTCGAAAATTGCTCAACAAGCATGCTGTAACATATGATTTTAAGTGGTTAAAACAGTGGATGAAACCGTGAGAACTTTCCACACGTCAATATCAATTTTGTTGTTTGTAACAGAGTACCGTAACGGGGACTTCCCTGAATCGTGGGGACGCGCTGCTGAAAGTCGTACGTTTCATACGAGGTTCACAGTAATTTGACTTGCAATCAAACGTCTGGTGTAATGACGTTTAACACACAATTAGATACGTTGAATCGCGCGCATCGATTATCCGAGTCGAAATTTTCATGCCTACATTTTGACATTCTTAAGGAGAATTATATCTATTTAAATGACCTACAGATTGATAACGACCTATTTTGATGATATCGACACTATTAAACTTCCCTCTGCTTTTAACGTTACGGATTTAATTTTAATGTCACCTTGAACCTATTTTAACGTTAAAACACGTTAAATCCGGTAGAAATTTCATGCATTTTTTGAGCAGTTAGTGAACAATTTATTGACCGTCTAGTAACTGGAGAGTGAAATTACTTGGGATCCTAATGTAACGCTTTCTTGCAGTTATTGCGCGCAGAAGGTGCGCAAAATCTGAACTCATTTACTGAACGAAAACGGAACAATAAATGGACGAAAAACTATTCAGTTGATCAATAAACAAGCTTGCTGCTCATAAAATGGGCAGTTTTGCTCTAGAAATATCTGTGAATAAAACTATCAAGTTCTTGTTCATTTCCCACACAGTAATGTTACAGTGATATTATCGAGGTCGATATCGGTAAAAAGTAAGATTAAATTATATTATTAGAATTTAAATTGAACCCTTTTTTAGCTATTTTACCTCCTCCTTTATTGTGAAATTAAGTTCATAGTGCACACAAAAACATAAGTGGTAAGACGTAAGCAGTAAGCAAATTGACCAATCACAATGGATTATTCTTATTACGATCGAAGAAAAATTTACTGTAATGTTTTACGCTTCAGCGATATGGATAAATACTTGACCTGCTTTCCGAGTTAGCGTCGCGTTTTTATGGCTTTGTTTACGACATTATCCGATATTACCGAGTCGTACTTCACTTTGAAGGAGTAAACTAGAATGTTCAAGAAACGTCGAAAACAAATCCATAAAGGACGCGACGCTAAATCGGAAGCCAAATCAGGTAAATAATCAGTTGCGCGATTAGTCAATTTTCGTACTGCTTAACTCTCTAATGGTAAAGTTAGGGTCGGTTCCCACCCCATACTCTCTGTTTTATTCACTTTTCATCTAATTAATGTACAAAATGAGTAAAAGAGTTAAATAATAACGTGAAAAATTTCTTCCTCTGCTTATTTTCAGATGTAAAAATACAATAAAGTTGACTAACTGACTTTAAATAATTGTGACAAAACACTTTGAAAGACGCTTCGTCGTTCTGCAAATCCTTGCCATTAGAGGATTAAGTTTTTTCTGTGTACGCCATAGCTCTTAAAGCTTTACTATAGAACCAAAATGTCGACTAAGGACCCATCTATTGCCTTCTATCGGTCAGTGTCTCGCGGGAGCGCATTGTACATCAGTAATTTTGTCGCAATGACTTACCTTTTCAGGCAGGAATGGATCTCAAGAAACTCCCCCGCGCCTTCGCTGGCAAAGCCGCAGCGTAGATCGACGGTTCTCTCTCTCTTTCTCTTTCTTTCTCTTTCTTTCTCTCTCACTCTCTCTCTCTCTCATACACGAGAATTAAAACCACTGCATCTCACGCGTTGATGGCTCACTGATTACGTATCTGGTTGTTTATATCCCAGATGATGTCGTGAGCGTTTACTGCGAATATAAAAAAAGCCGGTGGCGCGACAGCATTAAAGATCTGCGAGCAAGGTCGCGTTTTTACATCGATTATCGGGCCGTGCGGTGCTCACGGGGTTCGCATCCGTCTGAACTTCACATGACACGCGGGGTCGCGCGCTTTATCTAATCGGTCAGTTCGGTTAAAACTCGTGATTTGTCGTACCCGTTAGGTTAACGCGAAAAGATCGCGCACTCATAGGGCGCGCGCGCGCGCGCGCGCGCACGCGCAAACCGCGTCGCTTTCAATCTGGCACTCGTCGGTCCTCGAGTCGCGAGTTCGTCTAACGGAATGCCGCACACTGTCTTTTTTTCCTTCTATTTACCTGCGCGTGCGTTTACGCTTCTTTCTATTTTTTATCGTTCTTATTCTTATTTCTTTTTAATGAAAAATTTGTTTTCCCGCGCTTTTTTTCTCCCGCGCTCAGAGAACGTGTGCTGGAGTTTTCCGTCACTCGTACGGCACGAATCGCAAATCCGCGAGATCGTCTCGATAATATCTCGATTTTCTCTGGTCGGATTCGCGAATGCGAAAAGTCGCGACGGACGGCGGGTGAGAGAGTACACCACCTCACGTTCACTTGGCGCGGCAGTCGGCGCAACACTGACAATACTGCGTATCGGTCAAAACGAGGCGCCGCGGCCGATGAGACGGGTGCGCGAAATCGCCGCGCACGGTTGCCTACGCGCGAGCGCCGCGCGATTCGCCGTTCGTGTCTCTCCCCGCGCGCGCGGCCAGAATTAAACGAAAGAATGGTCAACTTCGGGCTGTCGGAAAGAACAGCGATTAAACTAACAATGCGCTAATAATGCGCGGATTCGCGTCATACAGATACGGATATCGTCATCGCGCGGGTGCGCGTTACACCCGAGCCACGTGGTGTATTTGTCCGTGTGTGTGTGTGTGTGTGTGCGTGTGTACGACTGTGCAACACGCCGTCGGGTTGCGCGTACGATGATTTAGGTTTAGCCGTATCAAACTCTGATTAAGATAAGCGACAATTCACTTACAGAGTTGTAATTGAAACTCTTATATCCTTCTCTTTCTCAATTTCTTCTGTAATAGAGATTTCAATCGGTGACTCTGTAAGTTTATTGTCGTTTAGCTTAAGACAGTTTGTCCGTCAAAGTTTTTTTAGGAATCCTTGTAAAGCTTAGCTGAATATTGGTGGAAATATCACCTACACGTTTGTGCAAAATTAGAAAACAGTTGGCCATTCGGAAGCTGAAATATTCGAGCAACTAAAGATGACATTTTTTACACGTATTCCTTGAGATTAATGTCCAATTTTTCTAATTTCTATTTTTAATTTCTTCCAAACTTCATTTAGGATTTTTACAGAAAACTCCCAACTACTGTGATATTCAGGATTAATATAGAGACAATTGTATAGAAATTTCAGAATTATTAATCGTTTTGTTTTGAAAATATAATCTTATGCAGGAAGGAACGTCAAATGACCTTTTATTGACGTCAGAGACATCATTAAGACGCTATTCAGATGTCATTTTGTCTATTTTAGTCACCTTGCTATTTTAGATAATAAAAAATTTGCAGTTTATCATAATACCCGCGATATATGTACATATACACGCATATTTAAATATTTATATTATACTACTTTCTATTATATGTGCATTTCTATTAGCTCAACTGACGTATAAATAAAGTATTAATAAGAAAAATCAAAAAAATAATATATCTCTGTGTTTGTAATATTGTGTGTATATTTGCTTTAATTTCGTTTAAAATTGACACTTATTACTTGAGTTATATAATGTTACAGGAAAGTATATTTTTCGGTAAATAATAAACTTATATAAGAACCTCTTATTATTATCATTGAAAATCCTGTATTATATGGATCAACTATCTTAATCAAAGATTGATGCAACCGGATCTCATACCTATTTTTACCAATCTAATCAACGATTATCCCAACGAAATTGATCGATCGCATTGGTCTATTAGCTGAACTGATCAATGCGATTGGTCAATTCCGTTGACTTAATCATCGATTAGATTTAAACCGTGATAGTAGAAACGGGCATTGGGGTGACTTTCTCCAAACTCCGCGATTCGACGAATCGACGATTAACGGCAGAATTACCGACTGAAATTGCCGTTGGAGAAGAAATTGAGAGAGAGAGAGAGAGAGAGAGAGAGGAGTTAGAAATTGCTAACTATGCTAGTTAACCCGAGTTGAAATTTTTAATTCTGCATTAAGTCTTCAAGTGGAGAAAGCGGAAATAAGTTTCCACTTGTAGCATTGAAAGAATACAAGAAATGTTCTTTTAAAATTACAAAGGAAATTTAGTCCTCCAGAATCTAAATTTTAGTCCTTAAGTCTTCAAGTGGAGAAAACGACAATAACTCTTCCATTTTTAGCATCAAAAGAGCACAATAGAAGATTTTTAAACATTTAATGTAGAATTAAATTAGACTCAAGACTAGACCTAAAATTTCGATTTGGGAATTGTCGATTAGATTAGTCGAAGTTTGAAAAAAGCCACCCTTACTCGTTGCCGCAGATGCGGCGACTCATCCTGTTCCATGTATCTTCCGGCAAATTTTCCGTCATCTTTCCATCCGCGAGAGAGCGTCGACAAACATCTCTCCTCGCGTTTGTCATCTTCAGTATGAATATATTTACATCTTCAGTATGAGATATTGTCAAATTAGAAGTAGCTCGTGGAGAAGGAGATTGCGACATTTACGAATGCAAGACACGGTTGTTTGCTTCTGCTCTCCGATTTGTCGGAGCGTCGTCGGTTCTCAAATTGAGATCCGCGCGTGACACTACGAATGATCATCACACGATGATCGGGTCCGTCGTCGACTATTCGTCGACTATTCGCGGTGACAATAAAAAAAAGAAGTGGAAGGTTACGGCGCGTTCGATCGAGCATCGTGTTATGTAACGCGGCCCGAGTCCGAACTGCGCTTTCTGTATTTTGTATTCGTAATAATATCGTTCGGCGTTTTCGACAGTTTCTCATTTATCAGATTGACATTCCAGATATCACGAGCATCGGTTCTTCCTATATATTCAACGACGGCGTGTATTTTTATCGCCGGCGATATTGCACAGGATTGCGCCGCTATCCAGAGATCGCCGAAGTATATCTGTCTGGATCTGAACCGCTGCCCAGCGCGAGATTTACGACACGGCGGAGAGCCGACTGGGCAATCTAAACCGATCGGCGCTCAAACTGTCATCGAGTGCTCGTTCATCCTTCCGATATTTCACGCTCCATTTTCACCGTTGAACATTCATAAACCGCTCGCAGTAAACACATCGCTCGCCGCCCCGAGCAAACGGAATACTCCGCCGCTTCGCGCGCGTGCGTGAGAGAGAGAGGGGGGGAGGGGGAGGAGAGAGATCACACCGAGATCGTGATCATTAATGCGTTTAGCCTTTTAGTCTAAATTAACCTTTGCGTTTATACACGGATATTATCGCGCAGTAGAGCGTTAACCTTGACAATAGATCGGGCATACTGCATCTCGCGTGTCCGCGCATCGAATAAAAACGACGTTTTCGAGGCCGCGACGGGCGAATCGCTATTAAATAATACAAGCGGTCCGACAGAGCGGCGTAACACCGCCACTCATTATTGCGCATACGTGATACCGACCCGTCCTGAAGTACTCGTTATTCCATATGTGGCCACCGTCTCCGTGAACTCGATTTATTATTGTCCACTTTGATCGGCCACCAATTGACGTGACATCGAAGACAGCGCCTCCGTTTCCTCTCGTAAGCGCGAGATAACGAATCCTGAGACGTCTCAGCAAGAAGTGTAAATCTTCACAGTCAGAGAGAGAGAGAGAGAGAGGTGTAAAAAGAAAAACGATAAACGATAACTTCGAGGAAGAAAACGATGGAAAGCTTCGCGATAACAAAATACCGAGGCGGGGAAGTCATATCGTTTTTACGGATCGCTTGACCTTATCCGGTAGTAGGGATAAAATCCTGCAACGATAACAAAGGATAAACCTGAAAATTATGCTGCACTCGTTAATGAGCAGATCGAAACCTGTTTCGACGTCAGCCCATCGGGCAGTCTGTTCGTAGGACGTTGAAATGTAACTGCAAGCCCGACGATTGCACTTATCGTTGAATTTCCATGCTGATATCTCGCCGATAACGTCAATGAAATGAAAGTTTAACTATTCCTTTATTTCTTTATTCCTATTCATATCTAGGCTAAATGTAATTTATACTTTTTTGGTTGACAGCATGGAACGCACGCATACACACGGTACATTATCTGTGAAACGGTTTAAAATGTTAACCCTTTGCACTCGAGGGCCTCGGAGCGGAGCCATTTAAAATTTGTCTTCAAACTCTTCAAACTCAAATGCAAATAGCAAGAACGGAATATCCTATACACAATAGTTTTTACGATTTGTCTTTGTCCTTATGTTATGAACTGAAAGTTATTTGCATTGTCTCCATAGCGGAGTCCTCGAGTGCAAAGGGTTAATAAAGGTTACGCGCTATTTTTGCGCATATATCGAAAATAAATTTCAGATTGCATTCGTACGCTGCTATTTATGCTGGCTCGTTTCGATTTCAAAGACGAAGGTGATGGAAGATATATGTCTAATGTATGAATACCACAAGCAATATTTATCAGAAATATATTTATTATATCTTACGCGTACACACAGTGCGCTCAATTAAATAAGATGTATTAAAGATTATATTTTTATTTGTACTTGGTTGCTATATAATATTTGTAGTGTTTCGTACTTATATGAATTATCGCGCTTTTTATTTAACAATCGCACACATAATAATATATTTCATTTCTTTTTATATTTAAAAAAGATATATATATTTATATGTGTGTGTGTGTGTGTGTGTGTGTGCATGTGCGTGTGTGTGTATATTCCTTCGTTCGATAATGTATATCATTTAATTAAAAACCAGAATTTATAGTTTCTTAATTAAGATACTGTACTGTTTGATGATGCGGTTTTGACGCAAGCATTTGCCGTGACCATGAATTGTATTAAAATTAACAGGTACGTAGTGATGCTCCCCACTATCTGTAAGAAGAAAACCGCAGGAAATTTTTTATTTAAAATAAAGATACATATTCATTGAAAAGTCTAACGATCGTACTTATTGATCGATTAGTTTCTTTGGAGCATGCCAATGATGGGATTTGGATGCAATGAAATTTATGAAATCTGAAGAAATCTTTTTCTCAGTGTGGCACTCAGTTATTCCCGAAACCACTTATACTCGGGCTGTGGCTTACCGCGGTGAGAAGTGTCGCGTCCACGGTGAGACCTTTCGCGGAGAATGTATTCTCGCGATGCAGTATTTGCAGGGAGAACAGCTGCAGCTGCAACGTCAGATCAAGAGCAATCAGATAAGGAGAAGAAAAAAATCGGCACGGGAAAGAAATCCGGTGGAGAATTAGCGCGCGGGAAAGTCGCAGCGCGAAGAGAAGCCTAGCGCTCAGACTTTCGTAAGGATGGTGGCACGGATTGACATTTTAAGCGCTACCTCGTCCTTGATCTGCTTGTCGCCGGTGCTGATGAGCACGTCGTGCACGGTGGTGCCGATCTCCGCTGCCTGCTCCTTGCCGGTCTCGCAGGCCCACACCATCAGCGCTATTTTCACGCCGTAATACACTATTGGCATGGTGTAATACGAGTACCAGATCCGTCTTCCTGGGTCGGCGGTGGGCTCGCCGTGCCACTTCAGTATATAGAAGTACAGACTGAACGTGATCTCGCCGAAGGTCATGACCACGGTAGCGAGCAGTTGGAGGCTGAAGGTCGAGTTCAGCATTTGCACCGTGTCGCTGACCATCAGGTGCCTCTTCTTCAGAGCCTTGAGCTCCATCAGCAGGAACGGATTTCGCTGCTCGTGATAGATCCTCCTGAGGAGATGCGGCTCGTCGCTCGTCACGAGCTCCCGCAGGTTCGCCAGGTTCTCGTTGATCCGCTTGAAGCAGGCTTTCAGCACGCACACGCAATTCATGTACAGCATGTCGATCTGAAAGACCAGCAGGGTGATGTACAGCATGTACACCTTCGCCAAGGCTTGGTAAACGTTCGGCGAGTAAGCGTTCGGCGCCTGGCCGAGCAGGAAGAAGAAGCCAAAGATATCCTTGGCATGGATCAGCCAGGACAGCCTGTGGTACGACTCCGGCGGCAGTCTCGATGAGATCTCCTGCAGCGCCTGAAGGAAGCGCATTCGTTGGCCGCTCATGACGTACGTGACGATCGCTATGATGCCCCCGAGGATGTAGTAGCAGTTACCCTGAAGAGCGGCGGGCACGGTGTTGTACTTGAGTGTGTCGGAGATGTCCGTCTGGTAGAACACCACCAGACCGTAGCCGCAGAAGACCAGGAGAACGAACGTGGACAATATGTAGCGCGCTTTGCTGCCCGAAAAGGCCGATGCGTTGATCTTGTATGGAAATATGCCGATCACGTGGCAGAAGATGAAGCAGGGATACATCAGGGATTGAAAGTCCGTCGCGTGGAACAGCCGCCACCTCTGCCGCGTTTTGCTCTTGGACCGCGGCAGCTTCTTCGTCGACAACGGACGAAACATGATCAGTGGCGCAGTGTCATGGGCGAGAGCGAGATCACCTAACTCGTAGATAACATAGCCCGGAAGAAAAGACGAGAGGAAAGTTGAAGAGAAGGAATAAACGATCAACGAGCGGGGTCAAGCGAGATCCGCATAATCGCCGCGACTCGACACCGACGCGAACTCAATTGCGAGAGAAAGAAAGAGAGTGAGTGAGAAAAAGAGAGAGGGAGAGAGAGAGAGAGAGCTCTTCCTGCTTGCTCGAGTTTGCTCTGTCACGACGGACTAGTGAAAAGCGACATGGGTGTCCTCCTCGTGCGGCTAGTCCACCTGCTCGCGGCGAATTTAAAACTGCGAGGTATACCGGTGTCAAACCGCGAGGCAGGGCATAGGGATCATTTGTTAGCCGTGAAGTAACCATGGCGCTCTTCGATCGGCCCTTGTCACCCCTGGGATGCAGCGCATAACGTAATGACACGTAATTGCTGTGACACATGACCCATCATCTTGCGCATCTAGATCGCGCGAGACGGAATCGTACGTGCATACGATAACAAGGCAAGAGGACGCATCGGCTGCGTAGTATCCAGACCCGATCAGTAGCTCTCAAAGGCGGGCGATAACAGTAATCGCCCGATCGCGATGTCCGCATTCCTTAAGGACAATATCTGTAGCCAAATCTTGTAATTAGGATCATCTCAAGTTTATCCTCAGGCACCGGTCGTTTCATTCGCTACGAAGCATCTGAAGGTGAATTTGAGACGATCTTAACTGTAATGCCCGAGTGCTTTCATTATCGGGATGTCCGATATCCTCATCCTGTGAATTCGGGATCTAATCTTTCATCCCCGTAATTTGTTGCAGTTTTCTGCGCAAAAATATCCGTATGTTCTTTTTCAAGTTCAACGGCACGCTCCGTCGATACTTCTTTTTTCTCATTTTCTTGATCGAAAATATTTTCCCCGTGTAAATTATAAATTAATCTTACTTTCGGTAAATTACAGATTAATTTAACTGTTGAAAATCGCCGAGCCCGAGTTCGATTTGTAACATCGCGGGCTGAAGTATTGTCGAATCGCTCTACGCCGGTTTTGAGAAACACTGATATAGATCGGCGTGAAAGGCATATGCGTAACAAATATAATGCCGATAAACCGAGTCATGATGCAAGGACAATGCTATTATCTAGATTAGAATTAATCGACATATTCCCCTGTCTGATGAAATTGTTAACGGACACGTGCGTTGGCGGTATTCGCACGGACAACAAATTACCTCGGGACGGCTGGCTTTTGTATTTCAGCAACAACGAGGGGGCGTGCGGTGTAAAATGACACGGACGTTATCATTACGATAATGCCTCGATCACATTACGTCTCACTGAAAATTCATTAAATTTTCGCGCTGATGGGTGAAGTACTACGTTGTCCGCAAACATTTCCACGATAAACCGTATTTCATCTAGTTGAACATTCAATCCACTTTAAGTATAATTGCGCACGCGTGTGCCTAGTAAAAAATTGCCAATAAAAAAAAAGATAATTGGAAAAAGGTATGAACGATGAGTAAATCGATTAGGGTATTGGACAATATTAATAAGGACGAAATTTTTTTTTAATATTTGCCAGATTTTAAGTATAATTAGATAATCATGTACAGAGTAGATAGTCAAACAGTTGTCAAAATTACACATACACATGCAATTTTGATACATACATATATACATATCTAATTTTGACAATTGCTGACCATCAATTGCGCATGTTTGTGAATCATAGGTTCGCTTCGTCATATTTTTTGTATGTTCTAAAATATGTAAGAAAAAACTGTTGCAGCCGCCCTGTAACCGAGTGTATTCATATATCACGTTGTTATTCTTATACTAGCTTCTCGCCAGCTATTTGTCAGCTATTTTTGTTGCTGATTTTTCTTTGATATGCAGATATAAACAATGCATGAAAAAAACACGATCATTTTTAACGTTTCTTTATATATGAATTTTCGCGACAAAACGCGATAATTACTGTATATTTCTAGAAAAAAATAAAGGCACGCTAAATATGCTATTAAGTGTATTTATTTAACGTTAATATAATTCGAGAAGTTATTCGAATACAAACGGATATTTTTTAGCATATGTCACCATTTATTTGACTTACTTTAATAAATGATTGCTTGTGATAAGCAATTTGTATACATTGCATAGCATATAACGGTTCTGCGTAATTTTTTATTTAGTATAAACGCGCTTGAAATATCTTTGCGTTTTTACGTACAACTTGCGCAGAATATCATAAAATAGGAGGTTTATACGTTTTATGTGCGAAAAACGCAACGACATGATAATTATATTGTCGTACGTGATAAAATACTTATGTAAGAGACACCTTATTATGTGGCGCATAAAGTAGACGAACAAGAATCTGATTTTTTTCATAGACTACTTAGAAAATATTCAAATATATCTACATAATCTTAAGGTTGTTTCCTAATGAGAGGTCAAGATAAAACATTGTGAATGGCAAGTGAATGGTATTGTGAATATTTTTAGATCGAATTATCAAGTTGCAGTACGATTTCTCATGTTCGAAAATGTCATGTCAGTGAATTGCGTTCGACGCAGAAAACATGGCTCATCTGCAAACACAGCTGTAGGTAGCACGTGTACAATTATAGTTGGCCACTAGATGTCTCTGACTCTCTTTTAGCGGTATTCATAGCGTGAGAATACCAGGTTAGAACATAAAATACTCTCTTTGAATATAAGATCCGGAGGAGGAATTGCCTTTGTTTTCTATAGACTGAAAGTGTGTCCAAAGTGTGTTCAAGAGAGAAAGGTATACAAGTGATACTCGTCTCTACGCATGCGTCAAAATCGTTGCGTGTAGCACTTCCAACATTTTCTGTACTTGATTTTCAAACTTCGTGAGGGCAGATATATTTATAATACAATATTAAGACACAATATTACGACACATTCGCAACGACGTGAGCGTTAAGTGAAACGCACCCTAAATGGAACCCTTTATTTTATTCCAACTTATTGCACCAATTCAGCAGTACAGCTAAAAAGAACAGATCAACAGTTTAGTAGGCGTTAGTTAATATTTGTGCTTTCGTGCCACATGCATTTGTAAAATGAATAAGAGAGAGAAAGAATAAATTCTCTTGCTTCTATTTTGTAATAACGCTTCTATTATCGGCAGACATTATTTGCTGCATGTTATTTGCTACATCTGTAGCATTTACATTTGATATTGGCAGCGACGCTCTGTGCTTAACCTAATCGAGATGGGTGATACTATCGACAAAGGAATCATCACTTATATATGTTTAGAGAATTTTATGTGAGTATAATAAAAGTATATGAATTCAAATCCAATGATATTATGTATCATTTTATTTAGGTTGCGTTATTTAGGCTTTTTATTGTATATTATATGCCAAAAGAAGATAGAATGACACTTACAACGTGTAAGCGTCCAAAGAGAACGCAGCATTAGAAGAATCATATACTCATAACTTAGAATTTTGTTTATGCATATGTATGTTTTAATCTTTTTTCAATCTTACAGTACTTATGATAGAGTCTCAGTGAAGCCTGGCAGATACCTCAATGTTATTATTGGCCCTAATGGTTCTGGCAAGTCTTCTATTGTCGCTGCTATAGTTCTTGGTTTAGGTGGCAAGCTTACCATTATTGGAAGAGCAACTCATATAGGAGAATATGTTAAATATGGATGTGAATTTGCAAAAATAGAAATTCGCTTGAAGAATGGTAAAAACCAAGATCACGTGATAACTAGAGTATTTACTAAGCAAGGAAAGTCTACGTGGAAGATCAATGATGCACCATCAACTATAAAAGCTGTACAAGCATTTGCAGCTAATTTTAATATTCAGGTACATATTACCTTATGTCTGCACAATTTTTGAATTTTAAATTTAATGATTGGTCTTTTTTTAAGGTCGACAATTTTTGTCAGTTTCTGCCACAAGATAGAGTACAAGATTTCTCAAAGATGGATGCTCAAACATTATTAGAGAATACAGAAAGATCCGTCGGAAATCCAATACTCCTTGAATATCATCAACAATTAAAAGAGTACAGGGCTTCTTGCAAAACATTGGAAAACGAAATAACAAACAAAAAACGACTATTGGAATCCAAAATTCAGGTACATAATGGAATGAAGGAAACAGTTAGTACGATAAAAGAAAGAAAGCAGATAAAGAAGAAAATTACATTATTGAAACAAAAGAAAGCATGGATGTTATATGATTACGCACGCAGGAAGTTATTGGAGGTATATAAAATTAATTTCAAATTTTACTAATATTTTGTGCTCTGTGCTTACTGTTAAAATTGATATTTTCTTTGTTTTCTTTTTTTGGTCAATAGTCCAAGAAAAAAAGAACCCTAGCAGTGAATAATATGCAATCGATAAAAGATTCAATGAAACCATTAGAAAACAAAATTGCACAGATAACATCTGAAGCAGAAAAGATAAAACATGGTCTAAATAATCATGTAAGTATAACTAAGAAAAGAAAGCTCTACCAAAAATATTACTAGATCATTTTGTAATATATTATTTTTAATAACTTATCATATGTTATATAATTTCAGAACGACAGAGTTCAAGCAGAGAATACAAAGTTAAGAAGTATTATGATGGAGATTCTCAACACTGAAGAAAAAATTAAAGAAGCTGAAAACACGTGTTCACGCCGAATTCAGGTAGAACAGACCCGAAATGAAAATATTAATCTCCTAAAGCAGAAAAAGTGCAAACTCGAGAACGACTTATCCCTTATGATTAATGAAATTGGATCAGGTTTGTAAATTGATCCCACTATTATTTATAATAGTGTAATAAATATTAATTCATTACGACATATATATTGCAGAAGAAAGTTTAAAGGAGCTTATAATTAATACAACAGTTTCTATGCAAAAACACAAGAATGTCATTAGTAATTTTACTGCTGAAAGTGTAACTTCAAGGAATAAAGAAGAAAACCTAAATCGTGACATTAGAGGTATATATTATAGGCACATACAAACTCAGATATTATTTTAAATTTACTTTGTTTGTTAGCTATTCAATGTTATTAATTGAAATTATGATTATAGCTTTAGAAGCAGAATATAAGTCATTAAATATCGATGCAAAGCGTATGGAACTCTTAAGGCGTAAGAGTATAGATGCATATAAAGGTGTACTTTGGTTGAGAGAGAATCGTGACAAATTTTCGGGGCTAGTGCACGAACCCATGTTGCTCAGCATTAACGTAAAAGATGCTTCTTATGCTAAGTATCTAGAAAACGTGATAGCGCTACGAGATTTAATTGCGTTCACGTGTGAAAACAAGCGCGACATGAATTTGCTAATAAGTTATTTGAGAGAACAACAGAAGCTACAAGTCAACATAGTTCATTCCGATCCTATGAAGATAGTTACCATGCATCCCATTATACCGATAGAAGAAATTCAGAAATTTGGCTTCAAACATTACTTGGTATCACTTATCGAAGCACCGTCTACTTTGATGAAATATCTAGTTACAATGTATAGCTTGAACAATATTCCCGTTGGGAGCAATGCAGTCGAGGATAACACAGAAAATATACCTCGTAATATACACTGTTACTTTAGTGGTTAGTATTATTTTTTATATCGTGACACTGAGCTATTAATAATACTTTAGATTGATTATTATTTGATAAAATTACTTCTGCAGAAAATAATATTTACTTCGTCAGTACGTCTAAGTATACCCATGCAACGTCAACAAGAATATCACAAATCTCTAGCACTGAAACACTATCAATTGTTCTAGATAAATATAAGCTACAGATGGTTCAACAAAGGTATATCATGTGGACAGAAGTAGATAGATAATAATAAAAAATAAACATTTATTAATAAATATGTTTCAGATTACAAAATTTGCAGCAAAGCAAAAATCAAATTGTAAGTGATATTAAACGAATAGAAGATCAGATACGCGAGGAGAACAATAAATTAGAGAAATATCGGTCCGACAGAAATAAATATCAACAAAATATGCAGCAAATTGAAGCATTGCAAAGCAGAATACGAATGGCTGAGAGCTCTATTATGAAGATGGAGAAAGAACGGACGAGTATTGATAATATAAAAGCAGAATGCACTGAAGAAATTAAGGTTTGTTTTTTTTGTAATATAACACGCGCGCGCGCACACGCACATATATATTTCTTTAAAAAACTTGTGCTTACAGCTTTCAAAATTTTGTATACATTTGAAATTATATTTAATATTACATTTAATACATTTTTCAGACTATATTAAAGAATCAAATAAATGTGTACATAAAATATAATGAAGTTCTAAAGAAATATTACAATTGTGTTATAAACAACGAAGAGATGAAATTTACATTATCGTTATTACGACAAACTTTAGCGGTCAAAAAAAGTGATATCGCGGAATTAGAAGATAAATATAAGGAGGCCGAGAGAATATATAAACAACACGATGAGGAATTTCAACCGTTAATGAAGGAGGCTGAGGATTTATATAAGGAAGCGCTAAGTAGTACAAATAATATAAGTCCACAAGACGAAGCGTTCAATGCTCTAAATAAACTCTTTGAAAAATTACCATCTAATATAAAGGACATAAATCATGAATTGGATGTCGCTAATGCAAAAGTTTTTTGTATGGCGAAAAACGTAGATGCAGAAAATGTAAGTGCATAATATGAAAGTATAGTTCTTACAATTCTATGTAATCATATAACATGTAAATTATTACTATAATAGAAATAATAAGAGTATTCTTTTTAAGCTGATAGAAGCTGGTTGCAGAATATTTGGCATGGTGATTTAAACAAACTGCTGAAGAATAAAATTATTTCATAACATAACGTAGAACGCATATGTAGAGAATTTGATCCGAATACTCTTCTCACTCTTTCACGCGCGTTCTACATTAATTTTATTCTTTTACATTAATAATTTTATAATAATTTTATTCTCTCGATTTAAATTGTTGCGCCATATATCCTGATAATCGGCTCCTTTGTCTCGTTATTCTTGTCTGTGTTGAATATCTAGAAAACTTACAAAAATTTACATTTTTTCTTCAGGTAATACGTGAATTCGATGAAATAGGAAAGAATATCGACACTTTGACCAAGTTTATCGAAACACAGACTGTCAAGGTGAACGATATAAGGGAGAAGATTGAAGAATTAAAAGAAAAGTGGTTACAACCGTTGCAGCAGCTGGTCGAGAAAATAAATGAAAATTTCAGTTCTTATTTTTCCGCGATGGATTGTGCTGGCGAAGTTACACTTATGCATGGCGAAAATATTGTAAGTGTATTCACGCACTTGCGTGTATAAAAACTCTTCCTTCGATCTTAACGGGCGGACATATTTTCAGATGGACTTTGATCAGTATGGTCTGAAAATTAGAGTAAAATTCCGAGATTCCGACGAATTGCAAGAATTAACGAGGCACTTTCAGAGCGGCGGAGAAAGAACTGTAACCACTGCAATTTACATGATCTCATTGCAAGAGTTATCGTGTGTACCATTTCGCTGTGTGGATGAAATTAATCAGGTTCGTTGCTCGTCACCGATGTCGAAAATTTTATGTTCTATTTGATTATTTACAAACGTATTACAATGATTTTGTCAGGGCATGGACGCAGTGAACGAAAAGCGTATTTTCGACTTGCTCGTCAAAATGACAGGGAGACAAGGCAGTTCCCAATATTTCTTGCTCACGCCAAAAGTAAGTGTAATAACGATGTAGTAACGATTTGCAACCAGTGATGTCAATGACGGCATCGAGCCATGGTATCGGAAAGCGAGACAGCAGATACATCGGCTCGCGTCAAGTCAGCCCGAAGACGGCCGAAGCTGCGCACGAACACGGCCGCGCGACGCTTGTGTGCGCTGTGACTCGGTCCCGTCATTGGCATCATTGTTTGCAACGCGTTAATTTTCGCTAATCGTATTATTTTAACAGCTTCTACCTGATTTAACGTACGCCGATACTGTGACTGTGCATTGCATCTATAATAGACATTCTACTACTGATCAGACCGATGCAAATTTCGACTTTAATACAGAAGCATACTGCAACCATCTCGCATCGACAGTCTTGTTAAACGAACAGTAGGAAGTAAGTTATTGTAAAAAAAATACTTCCATTTTAGGTCTGTTATTCATATATATGGGAAAAATGTATATTAATGCGTATTATTAAATATATACATCACAGGACCGAAGACTTTTTATTTTTATATATTGTGAGTACGTAAATAAAAACTTAAATCTATTTAATTACGTTTGTAGAATACATACAATATATAAATTATTCTTGATATGAAAAAGTATGACATTTTTTTTAGATTTTACTAATATCAATAGTAAGTTTGTATGTGTGACGAGCAAGAGAGAGACAATGTCATGTGATACAATTGTGTACGTATGTGTACGTTTCTACATAAATTATTACAACTAGACTACAAGTTTCTCTTTGGCATAAAAGAGCAGATATTTCTAAATATCTAAACCAATATCTATTTATTTCTTCCTTTTCCCCTTCTTTTTTTTCTGAGCTTCTGGCCACGGAAAGCCTCGACACTTCAGCACATCCATAATGTTGTGGCACGTGTAATAGGCGTTTTCCATCATTTCCTCGTTGAAAATGTCCATAGCAAACCGCGCTTTTCCTCCGCTTCTTCTCGATTTCTTCGACCCTTTACTCTTGCCGCCATTGCCTCCTTTAGCCCCTTTCCCATTATTTTTGCCATTGGTCTTCGCGCCAGCACCCTTTTTCTTACCCTTGCCATGTGTTGCCATTGTTAAATTGATTATTCCATTAATACCTTGAATCGCGAATCACATTAAAAAATATTGCAGTAACGGATGATCGCTTTCTTGTATGTATGTATATAACTGTTGCTGTGGTTAATTACCGCTATGCTCGAACTCGTTCGGCTAATTTCTCTTCACTGCAAGCGATTCTTGTCGCGTTCTCGTGAAAAGCCGGACTTGAATCGGAATAAATAACTCGCGTTGCTATGTCAACTTATAGCACCCGTTGCTACAGCCCCAGTTACACCAAAATCAACAAAGTAACGTGGGTTCATTGATCACACGATTCGCCTTTCTTAGAGTTAACAAAATTTACGGCGTGAAGCACGATAATTGATTTATGTATCTCTTTCCGTTAAGAAAAAGATATTTTCGTTCCTTATTACGCACGAAATTATCTCACATACGCAATAACGAAATCTTGACTTTCAAGTAACTGATTTTAAATTTTTCATTCCTTTTCGCGATCAGCAAAATAGTGCTTTGTGTCTAATTTTATTCAAATTCAGGAATAACACAAACAATTGTGCTTTGTAAATGTGCAACATCATTTTCAATTTGTAACAGTTTTACATACCCTATAAGCGCGTAATATTATTTAATATTAAGTAATATTTCTGGAATATTATTATAATAAATTGGATTTTACACGGCTAAGATAAATTTCCATTTATTTCGAGTCTCATTGCCTGGTCATAGTTATTGTTATTGCTAAAACTGGTTCAGAGGTATAACTTGTATCATAATTTCCTCATAAGCACTTGATGCTTAGTCATAGAAAGGTATATAATTTACAATCCGTTTCCTGATCATGTCTTTTGATCGCCGACTTTTAAGTCTACAGACCTGCTCCCACGATTTTTTACCTTGAACGCTAACCGTTAACCGACATATTATGGACCTTCAAACGAAAATTGGAGGTCAGCGTTCTTTGCTTCGTGATTATCTTACGAAACATGTTCAGCCTCGACGAAATAACTACTGTATATATTTGTATTGGCCACCTAACACCACGATGTGAATTCACGATTTATCTTTTACAAAATACACATCCAATTCAAACAAAATATAGCTCGGTCTATTTGAAGGATCGATTTGGACGTAATTACGAATCAAATGTATCGTTAGATTTAAACGCGAGGAATTAAATCATCTTAGGGTGACCTTTGCCAAACTTCGATTGAGCTAATCATATGAGTAATAATAAACAATGCCAGCACACCAATTTCCACTTCTGTCGTTCAACATTAATCGGAAGCCAATTAATAATTTCTATTTATATTAGCAAAATTGAGCAAATAACAAACTATTAACTCCCCCTCTTCTATATGTAGCTTCAGCCACTCAACGGATAAATAACACCTGACTGACGGCAATTTTAAATCATAGGTGAGCCTAATCGGACTTTGGTGAAAGTCGCACCATTTGTGTCTCTATTATCGATTTCATTGAAATTTATTATTGCCGTTTGAATTTCGGTTCTCTCTTGACCTACTTATATTAAAAAAAAGTTGGACACGCAAACCTTATATTAAAAAAAAGTTGGACACGCATACCTTTTTCACTTGTCGCAGTTGTTTCTAAACCGCACCTGGTATGTATGCGAATTTCAAGACTCTTCAGCGATGTTAATTATACTATCGGTTTTCGCCAGCGAAAGCTTGACTTCACGAAGCAATTCGTTAGTTTCTCCTTCTTATACGAAGCCAGAGAGACGCGCTGATATTGAATCGAATCAATCAATTTTGATTTTGTCTTGATGATACAACACCAGATGTAACTCAATTCCCGTTAGAGAAAATGAGTAGACTTACAAATCCGGTTTTAAAGAATCGTGCGAACGGTAAAATCGTTTCGATGATTACATTGCCAACCTAAAAATATTCAAACTGCCATATATATATTGTTTGTTTTTCTTTACCTTGTAATGTACAATCGTACATTTATGCAGTCTCATACAAATAAATTCCACGGTGGGCATTAGTTAAAACCACTTCGTGCAAACAGACGCGAATCCGAAGAAGTTAAAAACTACAGTTGTCACTGAACCGGATTAGCGTCGCCGTGTCAAACTCAGTCCGTGACAGTAGAAACGGGCATAAAGCTGGAGAGCACGGTTTAATACGGGCTTTAGTTTCTAACGTCACGAATCGCCGTTTGTTGGCGCGCAACGACGGCGCGCCGGTCTATGATGTTTCCGGGCGCGTACAGATGTCAGTCGTCCGGCGAGGCTTGGTGCGAGTGCATGTGTATAGACGCGTTCGATGTGACGCGTTCACTTGCGTTCACCAAACAAGCTTCGCGTCCTGTGAAATGAGCCGGTGAGCCGGTCACCGCACAGTGACGCGTCTCTCGAACACGAAGTTACCGGATCAGCCATCTGAAGGATCATTCGGTGAGCAGGGCTTTCCTTATAGCGGGTGCACCACGGGTTCGACACCATCGTGTCCGTCTTATTTCCGTGGACGGATTTCGTCCGTTCGATAATTCCATACTGTAAGAACGCGAGTAAAACGGTATTCGTAAATATTTCCGCATTTGTTAAACGACAGTTCGCTGCCCTTATCGGCGTATAATTCGCTCTTATCAGTAGCTGTCGCGTAATTATATACAAGCACTCCAGACGATGCCCTCAAGCTCGTCATCGATGCGATGAGCGAATTATTTTAGCTTTGATTGCGACCGTAATTATGTAATTTCGCTTTTCTCCGCTACCATCGTCAATCGTTAGCTCCGTGCTCGTTCCGTTAACGTTCAAACTGAGATTGTACACCGCGGGAAGGGACGAGAGTCGGTTAGGGTTAATTAAAGTGTCAGTGGGACTTACAATTAGGAATTATGTCGATTTAAAGGGAAGGGGATTAATTAACATTCACCGGTGTTATCGTGTCCAATTCTCTGATAACGGATGAACACAGCTTTACGATTGAATACAAATCGAGTTTCAGAGGAAACGACGGATCTTTTTCCTTTCTTTGTCGGATTAGTGCGGCACGACTATCGCCTTACACTTAATTTCAAACACGGCTTGAACACTTGTCTCTCGACGCGGTTCGGAACGCAGCCGGAGCGGTCCGATGAAATAATTTAATTTCCATGAACTGATGAAAACCAAGTTCTCCCATCGGACCATCAGCCGCATTCCGAACTACATCGCGAGAATGTGTTCAAGCCGTATCGAGACCGGGTGAGTGTACATCGCGACGTTACAAAACGCGGCGTTCAGAGATGCGAGAAGGAGCGTACAAATGTGAATTTTCACGGTTATCGCCGCGTTTTGCGAACGCGTCATTTCGTCGTGTTCATTTATTTTTCGCACCGTTAAAAACTCGCGCGAATTAACCGTCGATGCGAAGAAAACGTAGAGCCCCGAAATCTCGGAGCGCGATGTCCTCTTGCATTCGCGAGATCGGCCGGCTCGCAAAGACGCACAGACTGTGTAAACGCATTTTCTATGAATCTTTCATGAGATATCGAGGGAAGAAGGGTACAGGTGAAATCTCGGAATACACTTGTGTGACACCTGTTATTTTCGATACGTTTTTGTACGATTGTACGATACACCGATTACGCGTGTCACACGCGTACTGGAAATGCAAAACGATGTGATGTCCGATCGATCTGTTTACGCTCGCCGCCGGCAACATCCTCGCAACATACGGACGCATTTACGATTGTGCGAACGATCTTTTCCTCACCCGGCTCATTTGTACAGCAATATTCCAGGGCTGACACGTCGTTCTGCATTTCCAGTATATGACGAGCATCGATATGCACGTCTCAATCAATCGACGTCGCGTCGCCGGCTTCCTAACGAGTTATAAATTTGCTTCCAGGTCACGCTGACAAAAGTGTCGGCCGCATGAATCAGTCAGCACCGCTGCACGGCCGCTGCAGCCTCCGCACTCCATAACCTTTCGTCGTCCCGAGGAATCTGAAGGAGTAGATAGTAAAATCCACTTCTCGCGAGGAAGATCGTAAAGACGTAAGAGAGTAAACCGCGTTCGCATTCCCGGAGACATGTGTGGTGATCGATAGACCGTTAGACGAGCGGGCAGATCTTGAGAGAATAGATCTTTTGAGATGGTTTAAAGACACTCTTGGGAAATAGTATTTTCTTTCTTTCGCAAGGAGATGTACGCAAACGGTAGTCTCTAAAAAGGAGCGAGAATTCGCGCGACTTCAGAAAGTTTAGAGAAGCTACAGAGAGAGAGAGAGAGAGAGAGGAAGGAGAAAAATGAGGGGTTCCTGTCGTTGCAGGTTAACGAGAGAAGAAAAATGTCCACGGCTTTGCTGGCCGTGTTCGCTGTGATCCTATGCATCCTCTTCAGGATACTGAACGTGAACAGCTCGCCGCACAGACCCTTCCTCGTCTGCAAGGATCAGTACTTCTTATCGACGGTGCTGAAGATCGCGCCGGTCATCGCCGAGCCGTGAGTTGATACATACTTTGCACCAATTCGCTTTGAGTCGCTTTGAATTTTGCTGGTCGAAGGAACTGTTGACACCGATGAATAAGAATCTCCTTAGGCTTCGGAGACACTCGCCGGGCGAGTGAGGTTAGGTTCATGCTCCGACGCCGGTCAATGCTCCGGCATTGACGAATGATATGACACTTGTGTCATTTTCTCTACGAGTCGACGGTATTTCGGTAGAATATCAATATTGTTATAACACTCATAATGTTGTGATATAGATACAGGAGGAAAGTAAATGCAGAAGGAAAAGCAGTTCTTGCCTCTGAGCGTTATGTGTGAGCAGGAAAGCGCGAGCTGCATTTTATTGTTCTCTTGTTCGTTTATTTATGTGGTACGGTGAAAAAATTGTAACGACGCGAAGAGAGAACTGTGATATACCTGTGTAAAGATATAACTGTGATATATGTGTGTTTATACTTTATTTGGTTACAGTATATAAACTAGTGTCGAAGTTTACATATGAGAAATGTTCCAATAATTATATATTAAACGTGGTGAAATTATGTTAATATTAGGAAAAGCATATTGGGTGTTATAGGATATATAATGTGACAATGAAAATATAGATCTGCTTTTATCTGTTTACATATGTATGTATATAATATGTAAGCCACAGGAAATACTCTGAAATTCTTATGCCATTGTGATTGCTTTTAAATGTGTATAATAGATGTTTCCACGCCAGTACCAGGAATGTTCAATGGACTGTCGTGGAGGCTTTTGTTTGAGATTGTTAGGAACACTTGTATGTGTTGATTTAACACAGGTCGTTTGAGGCACTTGTTGCAGGAAATGATGTATGGTTACGGTGGTTATTAAAGTATAGCATGGCAGAGTGCGATTCTATAGTTGAAAATAACAAATTCTTTCATCACTATAAAACCTTAAACTGTCACAGCATTAAATTATCAAATAAATCTCGGAAATGTGTAATGAAGCTGTCATCTTAGTGAAATATGTTTCCTTCAATATATCTTAATCACTGCTACTTGCAGTAAAGCTGTACTGGTTCAAAGAACAAAGTTCTGCTGATAACTTAACGCACATACATTGCAATAACAATTGCAACGTTTATAAGTAGTGCTTATAATCGCGGGACAGGGTAACGCTTGTTCTTATTTTGTCTGTTCTGAATTGATATGGGGAAAATATATAGTGACTTGTGAAAGAAGTAAATAAATGGTTAAGCGATTAATTATATCCAGAAAGAATGATTTTATAATTCTCCAATTTCATGTTTGTACGTTGATAAAGATAAGGAAAAACGGGGAGGGTATCATATATTGCAAATTTTTTATCCCGCCCGGCGAGGTTACGCTCTGATCGTATGATGCAAGCGGATTAAGCAGGCTTATGTTACACTTTAAGCGTTATCTAATACGCTCACATTGAACTCGCCGATAATTTCAGCAAACATGTTGATTCTTTCACTTTTGATTTGCTTACCGGACGAAATCTTGGCGATCGAGAGTAACCGAAGGGAAGATATAAGTCGAGTCCGCAATTTGTAACGTTTACGGACAAACTATATCCATTTCGGGATTTTGGGATTCGTCATCAGATGTAATGATGAATGTTAAACAGTCGACTTCAGAGAAGAGCCATCCAAGAAATATCGATTGGAACGGCCGAAAACGAGAAATATATTATTATATATTATAATACGTAAAACGTTGTCTATAATGAGAATTTAAGGTAGATTTTTCTTTGACAGCTGCATTAGTAGAGCAAATCGTTCGTCCTCGAACGATTCTTCAAATGATTATAACTAGTTCGTGATTGCGAAATAAGTATAAGGGCTAAGCAACTGATCTATTGATTAATTTCACATCAGTTCAATTACGGATAGAGCTACGTGAAAGTTTTGCTATTAAACATGAACGGAATCCATACTGTGTTCAGACGATTATTTCCAAGGTGCACTTAGATGTAACGAGGTATAGTTTCATTTCCTAATAGAGATAAAATTACAATGTCGAATAATCATTTATCATTGATGTTCCTCAATTTCGGTTATCGCAATAGCTGACTTATTAATGTAGATGGCATATTATGGATGATTACGTTGTCAAGATCATGATAATTATCGTGAGTCACACTTGTATTCTTGTCACTGCGTCATTTTTTGTCATCCGTCGCGACTAAACACGTGTCTGCTCCTTTTATAAATCACCGGCTGCGTGAAAGCGAAGTGATCAATTAGAAATCCCTGCGCATGACGTTGACACCATGGAATAATCTCGGTCAGAATATAAGGCAGAAGATCATTCAGCCATCGCGCTCGGACAAGTGCATTGCTAATTACGATTTCTTTCCTCTCGATCGCGTCGCGTGAAAGTACTTAAGAAAGCGGAAACACGTAACAATTCGTCGCATTGTCTCATGCAGAAGAATGAATAACAGCGAGTGCTGTTTGCCTATATTGCCCGACGTCTGCCAATTCAACCGAAGGTATAAGCATGTGACTCACGCATTCTGCGATTGGAATCGATAACAATTTCATCGAATTCCTTTATCAATGCTGTGTGATAACGCGGAAAAGTATCAAGTGAATAACAAACTCTCTCAACGCGTTCGCCGACACGCTTAAATTTTGTAGCGCGCAAAGGAAAATATAGCGTGTACGATGTTTGCCAATAGTTAAACTGCCATATATTTCAGTCGTTATAAAAAATTGTGTATTTCCGATAAAATTAGTAGAAATAATATTTCACTGATAATCAGTGAGTATCCACCGATTTTCAATAGAAACACTTCTCCATTTTACTCCTCTGTCGTATGTCTCACTGATTTTGACCGGTGGAAATAAAATTTCACTGCGAAATCCGTAGTGCACAAATTCCTTACGAGCTCTGCACCAAAGCCAACTTTCTGCGTTCGCGGCGATGAAATTAACGGTTTCCATGCACCTTGCGTGTCGTGACGCATAATTTTACATCTGCTTTTGCAAACTGTACCAATAATGGTAACGGTCGCTATTATTAACTGATTTCTTCATCGAGATTTCATTAATTGAGTGTTCTATATTTATATATGAATCACCAGTAGTTATAAGTATAGCATTTCATTGAAGAATACATTGATTGTATTAGATGTATGCAAACATTTTAATCTTCGGTTACATGAAAATAAAGCGTAGAACTTACGAGGAAAAGAACTAAAACTTTTGCATACGCGTAATACTTCAAGGAAAACGTAAATATCTCGACTTTGTGCGCGTGGCAGCGTTAGCAATCGTCGAAAACCGGCTTATCTGCATGGTAAAAAAAATTTCGTTGAATTCACCTGACGATAAACAAACCAAGCGCATTGAAGGAAACAGAATTGGTTCACAGGAACCAGAAATCCTGCTTCCTCTAACCAAAGCGCGCTTGGTTCGTTCATTGACGGGTGGACTCAAACTTTTTTTCCACGCAAAAAATCATACCGGTTTCAAAGCCGACTTTATTCATCGCAACGCGATCGTTAGTCGATTATTCGATCTTGATTCGCGAAGGATTTCCTGCAATTCATTGAGATAACCCGGAATTTCTCGACCGTCGTCACCTGTTGGCTTCTTGCCTCTCGCGCGTAATCGTTGCCTTCGCCAAGCGGCGTTTCGAACCGGAGTCCGGAATTGTAAATTATAGATTCCGCTCGTGGTGATCATGCTCGTGTCTTCCACGGCTCAAGCTCGCGTTCGTCATATTTCACTCACTTCGCGTCGTGGAGATCGCTCGTGGCATTCGAGTCGTCTTCGCGCGAGCGAGCGAGAGCGGCGCGAGAACGAGATCGATCGCTTTCCGTCCTTCCCCCCCCCCCCGCTATTTTTTCTCTCTAATAATGACTAATACCGTGACTGGTAATAACGCCGGATATCCCCCATATTATTACCGTTCGATCGGTTGTTTTCTTCTCGTGAACACTTTTTTGCATTTTCACGCCACAGAAAGCGCAAAGCATGCGGAGAACGACCCGTTCTTCTCTCAGCCGCGCGTATGTCCGTTCCCATATTTCAGCTCGGCGGCCTCGGACTCTCGCGAGCAGTTCCATGTGCGCGAAAATAAAAAATTTCATCGCAGCTAACCAGCTGAAAATCACGTGGCATATAATTTAATACGGCGTGAGGTTGGCTAAGGTTAAAACGGTCAAGTCGCGCATCGAATTTACACGTGACGTACGAATATTGAGTGGAAGTTTATCGCGAGTATCGAATTATCTACGGCCTTCCGGCCGCGATGTTATTCATTCCGATGGTGCTTCTCAATGACGCACGTTGTCCATCTCGTTAATGTGTTTTAATTACAAACACATGGGGGAGCATTGGAGGAGTGGATTACCGGGTCGGGCTCAGACTGGAGGTGATGCTCCTGAAAAATAGGTAGCGCACAAACGGCGCAATAACGTCCGGCGAATATGGATAGCTTCCAGCCGTCCTGATCGATAATACCAACCATGACCGTGACTCTGAAACGTGCGAGTCGCACCGTTGCGACCTACCTGACGCAAGTTTATCTTTTTAATAAATGCATTGCGTAGACCGATAAAAAGAAAGACGTTTCTTTTCTTCGGCACTTACAGCGGAATATTTTCGTGTCGATGTAACGGCGAGCAGATCATGATAACGAAAATTGAAGTTCGCTTCGCGTTCTTCTCTCGCTTCGCGTTTTCCTATATTTTTTTATTATATACTTACTTAATAATTCCCTCAAGATGCGCACGAACTTGCGAATATTTCGGCGACAATTTTATCGTACGGATAAAAAGCACCAAAACCGACATACCATTTTGTTAGAACTTAGACTCTGAAGTCCTGTGTTGAAGGTGTAAAATTGAAATGTATGCGCATGGAGGTAGATTAGGCAACACTTCACTACCAAAATGCATGATAATCTTATAAAAATTATTACATATTTCCTTACTATTTAGTAACTATTTTTTAGGATTTTTGAGGATTTATGCTTCTGGAAATCAGGTCCCAAAACCGACACACCTATGATACTTCTCTTAGCAAATTATCAAAAAATAAAAACACTGAAATTATATTATTTTGTAAATTGATTATGTATCTTTGCATGTTATCTTTAATCTTATTTAGATTTTTATTATGTGGAAAAGGATTCCATGATTTTTTCTTTTCGACCACCTTAAACAAACAAACAAGAAAAACCAGGAGAAATCAACAACCAGTAACTTTATTTCTACTCTGTGAAATGATATTTTGCAGCAAAGTTCAGGTCTGTTGATTTACAGTACAGACCTAGATCCTAACTTTTCTTGCGTGATTCAGTGACAGAGGATAGAGTTTGACACAAGATCCAAAGTGATTCAAAACGTTCAAAAGTTACACTATAAAACAGCATTAAATCGAATAAATTATCTATCGCTAATTTATTATTTTGATTTTGACAAGAAGATAGCTCGATGGAAACTTTAGCACAATGAGGAATCAGGCGACGCTAATAACGCAACCGAACGCGCTTGCAAACAGAAACTTCAGCCACTTCAGTCCTAATTTCTGTACACAATAGAACGGAATTCATATTCTGCTCGACAGAGTTTAGTACTTTACAATCAAGAAACATAGGTGCATCGGTTTATTATACCTATGTCAGTTTTGGCGCTTTTCCTCTACTTGAGAAGTCTTTCCAAAAAAGGAAAGCGGAAAAGCCAAGGGATTGCTTACAAGAGCGCTGTTATATAGCTAATCGATCTCGCAGCTCGCTTTCCTTCTCGGAAAATTCTTCTGATGATATGTCAAGTTCTTTTCTCGAGGAATTGCGAAACAAGACTATCGGAAGATGTAGTTAATTATTCTAATCAGTGAAACATATATCCTTTCGATCGTCAATACCAACAGTTGACGACTATGAATTACCTGCATTTTACTTTCATAAATTCTTTTGTCGTGTCCGTGGAAACCTTGACGTATTGTCGCGGGACGAATCGGGTAAAATATAAAGACACACCAGGGTGAAGGTACCAGTCAGCTTTATCGCCGCATTGAACAAAAAAAACGACGTAATAACCGTAACGAAAAACGATCGTTACAGAAAGAGTAGAACTCTTTCTCCGTCTTTGGCAGTTTAGTGGTCTGACATAGTTTACCCTACTTTTCTCTATAGCATCTGACTCGCGTGATGACTTCGCGATGACCGCGGCGAACACTAGGTATTGACACGTTTCTCCTTTGCACAATTACAACGGCATATTGCGACGTTTTATCGGCTGTGACTCCACGTAACTTTGCGCTAACTCATCACATGAGAAAAGAATTTTACTTTACTGCTTGTAATTCGCGAGAGCGCGCGACAAGACAGATCTTTTCTCCTTTCGGTCCTCTCTCTCTCTCTCTCTCTCTCTCTCTCTCTCTCTCTCTCTCTTTCTCTCTCTCTCTCTTTTTCTTTCTAGTCTCGCAAGGAAAAACAGATTGAATAGAAAGTGCAATAGAATACGTAAGATGGAAAGGAAACGTAAAAATCGGGAGGCTCATTAAGTAAATTAAGTTTGGTATTTTGTGCCGTTGCGGGAGCAGTGAAAACGTGGCATTAAGGAACGCATTAGTAGACTGGAAAACGGGTTATCCGTCAAGTCGCCGGACAGCTCGCAGAGTAACGACGGGTAGCAAATGTAATAGCGAGGTACCAATTTCCACATTGAAAGAAGGATTCGATAATTACCAAGATTTGATGAAGTAGTCTCAGCTAAAATTATTTGATTGCCGCAACCAAATCATTTAGTATCATACACTGTACTGTAGTAGTGTACTGTAGCAATATTGTATTCAGTTTTCAACCAAATCTTGATAATTGTTACCAAATCCTTTTTTCACTGTACGTATAATGTGCGGAGCACCCTCGTCACACCGAGAAAAAAGTACTTAAAAATTGATTTGTTAGATATAAGATTTATTTTACAGAAATAAGGTTTATTCCTGCGAAATAAACGTTATATCTCATAAATAAATTTTGAAGTACGTTTTTCTTCTCAGTGCACGCCCTCCGCTTCGAGAACTTTTTCATTGAGAAAAGGACTTGATAATAAATAATAAAATTTGATGAATATTTGCCGATTAAATATTTGTTTATTACAATCAAGTAATTTAATTCCATAAACTAAATATACGATGTACGTTATTGCAGTATTGTGTATTAAGCACAGAACTAAGTTATTTAGTTGCGGTAATCAAATATTTGGTCGACAAATATTCACCAAATTTTAGTATTTATTATCAAATCCTATTTTCAGTGTATACGGAAGGTGATTATTTGCGAAGACAGTGTCTTCCTCATTTAAATATAATACGTTTCCTCGTATGAGGATAAATAAATATCTCTTGCAAGTAGAAGCGGGTCGCGTTTTCCGCGATCGATATACCGCGTTACCGTATATTCCATCGATCCGTTGTCATGCAACTTTATATGTTTCTCTCATTAAAATGCAACTGTCAGAGACGTTCGATGCGATCTTTCGTACATGCGCCATCGGATTAATAATCGCCGAACGGCTGTTCGTTCGTCCTTTGGCATTTGCCGCACCGCTGCATGCGTACGCGATTATGCTCGAACGACAATAATTAGTTGCTATTGCAATGTTTTTGCAATTTACGAGCGACGAGGGCAACGATAAGCGGGAGGGAAACGCGTTCTTTTGGCACGTAAAAATTATACGATCCATCGACGGAGTCTTTCTTGCAGAGATCATCGTAAATTTGGAACCGTCGTCATTCGTCTCTAGTGAACGATTGTTATTATTTCGCTGCGTTCGCGGCTGGCAGCCGCGGTTTTCGCGCGATTTTCTTGCCGATGGATATGAATTTAACGGCGGACGGGCGCGCCAATTTATGTAATCGTAAAAACCAAGACGTTTTCGCGGAAAATCAGGACCGCTACTGCGGGAACTTCTTCGCGCCGCGATAATAAACCTACTATATTGTTCGCATGTTTGTTTCGCTTAGCGCGCCAAGCCGTGCTCCACTGATCCACTGCGACTTCTTGCAATTCCCCCATAAACAAGCTTAACGATGCGGCCCATTGTTCGACTTCGCTTTTCACCGTTTTGCATCGTTCGAGTTACGAGCGAAATACAATGTGCGGTATACCGTGTAGTATTAGTGTCAGCAATTTTTCACTTTATCTGTCTCGAAAATAATTCCGCACGCCGTTTGAGAATTAGGGTCTGCCATGATTTGAAAAGGCGATACTTCGAAATCTTTATCTTATTCATGTTGCATTTTGTACATACACACGTACATATACATACAATTTATTTACTTTCAGTGTCGAAATTCTTTAAACTTATACTTGAGAAAGAGACGAACTGTAAAGAAGACGCGGATCGATAAGAGATCTGCGGTTAAATTCGAAACAATGTTGTGTCCACTGAACAAATTACACAATTGACGCAACAATAGAAGTTGAGAAAATCTTTTTAAGCAAAATTTCGTTGATTCCACCTTTTTTCTCATTACAGGATAAAATGAAATATTTATAATTGTGAGATCGATTTCTCATTATTACATCTAACGCGTTTGATGTTCACATTTCGTGATTCATTCTGATGCGTGGATTACGCGTGTATAACATGTACGAATTTATAGACATACTTGTCTGTGACGTAATTACATACATATCGATTCTCTACCGCTTGAATTGGTAATATTAATTAATTCGAGATCGCTTTTTTAACAGGTGTTGCTTTCGTTTGGCTGCATTCATTAGCACGCTAGAATAACATTATTACGCCGTGTAATTACCAAATTACATCAAGTACCCGAGCTCACGAGTGAAATCCGCGTCGTTTAGCTGTGTTTGCAGAATATCATGAAGGAAATATGTCAAGTGACAGAGTTTGTCGTTTACTTCCTCAAGTGATCAATGCCCTCTTGAACAAAACGAAACGTGTCACGGACGCTTTCCAAAAATGGCTTACTGTTTAAAAAACTCTTGAGCGTTATAATTGGCTTTGTTCTATTCTATATTTGTGCTATTCTATTTCGCTCCGGCGTTCCCTCGAAATTCGACGATACATTTTGCCCATCGAGAGAGGCCAACGTAAGCGGAATAAAAAAAGTATCGGAACGGAAAAAGTGGAAAAAGTGAAAAACCACATTGTACGCTTTTAATAAGTGATGGGTGCAGTTTCGGCGCAGAAGCTAAAATGGCCACGGTCCTTGGCCCGTTTCAGATACAAGCCGACGAGGTTGTGGGGCTTCAGTGGGCACGTACAGACCATCGTCCACAGCGTCATAGGGCGCGTTCGGTGCCCTTGGCCCATTGGCGAACGCGTGTACATCAGTCTTCCGGATGAGACCACGCTTACGTACGATCTTTATCAGCCGCTGACACATGGGCACGAAGGTACGTATCACTCGTAAATTCGTAATATGTTTCTCAGGATTTGATTACAATAATTATGTTAATTTAATACATTAAGTACTTCGAATAATTCATTTTTTAATCCTTTTAGTGGTAAAATAAAGCATTTTTTGAGATGTGCATTGTCAAGCTTAATGTCATGGAGGCTTAATGCCATTACGTGGTTATATTTTTTCCAAACCACATTTAGGATTTTAATGAAAAACTACTGTGATATTAAGGGCTAATATAGAGACATTATATAAAAGTTTTAGAGTTATTTTGACTATTTTGTTTTGAAGACACGGCAACATGTGTGAAGTTAATTAAGTGATTATCGAGCGGAACACACGCAAGCGAGCGCGATCCAGATGTTCAAAAAGATTGGAAAAAGAGCAGTGAAAGCATTGTCGTGCTAACAGACAATCAATCCTTTGTATTATATTTATATTTATGTGTTTCTTTCATGGAGTTCTTGAACGCGCTCGGGACGATGGGAGAACTACATGCTTCCGAAGCGAAAAGAAGCGAGTTTACGGGAATTTGAGAATCGATCGGCTATCACTATAAGTATACCGCGCTACTGTACTTCCAGATGACATAACGATAGCCATCTGTCCCGGCATCGGGAACAGCTCGGAGAGCGTTTACATCAGGACGTTCGTGCACTTCGTGCAATGCCACGGTTATCGGTGTGCGGTACTTAATCACGTCGGAGCCCTATCCAGTGTCAAGATCACAGCGCCAAGAATATTCTCTTACGGTATGTGGCGATCGATGAAACTTGTTCCGCACCTCCGACAACGATCGATCGAGGAAAGTTAGCGGATAATAAGCGGGTGTCTACACGCGACTGTAGGGAAGGAAAAAAGAGAACGTCAAACACTTGGACGTAAACTTTCTGGGTTAAGTTGTCGTGTAATTTCTATTTGCACTCATAAAGATAGCTGGTGGCTGAACGACGCAATTTAGACGAGGCTATTTGCAAAAAAATACGGCCGCGATAGATAATGTGCGTGTTATGTCGATACTTACGATATTTAATTACTATATAACTAAATGATAATTATAACTTATCTGCCATATACACACACTTGCAATTAGCATTCAGGATATCGTGGTAAACCGTTCTCTTATCGTTTGTGTTGTCCGTCATTTTTTAATTTTACCACGTGTCGCAATTATTTCATATCCGACCGCACCGGATGCAGAATTTTTACTGGAGTTTTATCTCGAAAAAAGTAACTTTCACTCGGTGCACGAGTATCTTGGGTTTAACGGATCTTCTAACATGCGTATTTTGCCAAACAGGCCACACGGAAGATTACGGTATGATGCTGCAAAGTTTAGTAGAGAAGCATCCAAACACCAAAATAGTTTGTATTGGATACAGTTTAGGCGGTAATTTAGTGACGAAATATCTAGGAGAACGCGGCCCTAACAAATTGTCCAATATTATAGGAGGTATATCAATTTGTCAAGGATACAACGCTCTCGAGTAAGTACGGGCACGTTCATTTCACCGTATTTTATAACAAATGAAAATTATTTGCGCTAAAAAAGAAGAGAGAAAAGGATTCTCGAGGGAGAAATATTAACACACACGGTTGCACACGTTTTTCAGGGGAACGAAGATTCTGCTAAATTGGCAAAACTTCAGACGTTTCTATCTCTACGTAATGACAGAGTCCATGAAGAATCTTATACTTAGACACAAAAACGTGCTTTTGTCGGAAGATGTAAAACAAAGGTGTAACTTAAACGAGCGCGATATCATCTCCGCTGCGACGTTACCCGAACTGGATGAAGCATACACGAGACGGGTAGGTTGAACGCTTTTACCTTGAGATAATAATATAAAATGAGTTTTTTTTTTAAGAATTTGTTGAAACTCGCACTATATATAGATTTAAATATGATCTAATTATTGGCGCAATTAGAAGTAAAACCAAGTCGGACTGTACAATAGATAGCCGAGCCTTAACATTTATTACTTAGGCAGTGAAATAAATATATTGGGACGTAATTTTGCTTGATAAAGTTTTATGATATTAAATTAATTTTATACCACTGGAAATACATCATTCTACAATAAAATTACCTTAAAAAAGAACAAATCATCGTTCTAACCGATGAACGTTATCTTTACAAATGTTTTCTCGCGTTTCAGGTACATAACTTCAGATCTGTGCAAGAGTTGTACAAGTGGAGTAGTTGCGTCTTTTATTTGGACAATATTACAACGCCGATGGTTTTTATTAACGCGTTAGACGACCCGGTTGTACCAGAAGTATTATTAAATCCAATTAAAGAACACGCAGGTGAGTGTCTCGTTTATTTAATATGTATACTTACATATAAGTAGAACAACGCGACACGTGCAAGAATATACTAATATCGTGCTTCTTTTATTTATTTTCAGCAAATCATTTAAACACGTTATACGTGGAATTAGTGCACGGAGGTCATCTAGGTTTTTACGAAGGAGGTCTTCTGTACCCCAATCCTATAACATGGCTGGATCGAACGCTAGTGTCTCTTGTAGGATCATTGACTCTAGCACACGCCGACAAGGCTCTGAAAGCCTCTTAACCTAATTTAACTCGATTAACGTATTCGGATTATCGAGCGTTGATCGCCCGAACGTGTCACACATCGTGATCTTCTGAGATCAATCAGCACTACACTTGACCCCGTTGGTTGCTCTTTTGGGCAACTGGAATTATCTACAACGAGATGCATCAAGGATGCAGAAGAAACGGCACATTGTAGTCTATATTACAAGCATTTGGTACAGACTTGTCATTTCATGATACGTGTAGAGAAAAAAAGGAGAGAGAGAGAAAGAGGAATTGCATTTACTTTCACAAACGATACAGGGGAAAACAAGTGATAAACACGACTGTACAATAAGAGATGTTTGCTCACTGACGATAGGCAATTTCGAAATTACAGGTGGTTTTGGAACGCCAGCCAAATTGTTGCTCGCAACTCTTTATACATGAGGTTACCGTTGGTGGTGTTTTTATTGTCGTACAATTTAGCGCAACAAAATTAGACAGCCTAATTTTCCGAAGAAAACAGAGAAATGAAGTGGATTTTTAATATTTTACTAAATATTGACGCTTCTTCCTCAGGGATCTTCTATAGAACGGCGGTTTGATAACCAGGGCCTTCGATGGTCGTTAACAGGTTGCTAGTGGTGCTCACTGTACAAGCAATTATTACTACGCCACACACACACACACACTTACACACAAACAAACACACACACACACACACAAAATAAGTGTGAGTCCAACGCAATACGGAAAATCTTATGTATTCCTCACTGAGAATCTGTATTTATGTACAGTACGTGTATTCATATAGGCTATATATCGACTTACTGTATTTATAAACGCGTCTCAATTACATTTTAGGATTATTAGCTTTATCGATATGGGAAATTCGCCGCTGTACAAAAATCATATATACATTAATTAACCTGAGATTGACAAGGTGAAAAATATCTGGTCAGTTGTAACGTTGGATTTGCGAAGAAATCTATTCGAATTAAATTGTTCAATTGTTCTGCAAACCTATAATTTTACAAGTGTACTCGAATGTATACTACAAATTTTGTAAATGATGCTTTTCTAACTAGATTTATAATGAATTGCACAAGACACACTGAGTTTCGCAAATCCAACTTTATTACCGATTATTATATTATATACATATTGCGTGTAGAGGAGAGAGAGAGAGAGAGAGAGAGAGAGGGAGAGAGAGAAAGAAAAAGAGAGAGAGAGAGGGGGGGGGGGGAAGGAGAGGGAGGTGGAATTTCTTACAAAATATAAAAATATGCATCCGTATACATTATCATATAATGATAGATACATATTATGTAATGCAGATTACCGAGCTGCACCGCATCATATGTATCGCGCATCGAGTCGCTAGTATTACTAGAATCTCGAATCGGTCCAATTTAATTTATTCTTATTGCATATCGCACGATATGTAACAAAAAAAAACAAAATGCAATGCATACGTGATGCAATTGATGTGTGACATTTAATCGATTAATATTCCATATCATGATGTTCAAAATATCTTGTTCGTCCACGTATGTATATGTATAAATGATGACCTCGCTGTGTGTGGGATATAATGGGTTAATCTTACAAAACAAAAACTGCATATTCGAATGTTAGGATCGAGACTGTCTCGATCTTAACCTCGATGAGTTCATATTGATAAAGCTAATGCACGCAACGCGACGTGCAATAATTTCTCACGTTAGACAATATATTTTAAACGATAGGTTAAATCGCCACGCCATCCGCGTTGATCGCGTGACTTAACTGATATTTATTTGCTACTACTGCGTTTTGATGGTAACGGTTTAAAACAGAAAAAAGAAAAAAAAACGGCACTACCAATGATGGCTGGCGCAGCCTCGTCGGAGAAGGCTGCAGTCTTCGTGGAGACGGAGACGAACATTTCTACTTAAACTATTTATACTACGCGAAAGTGATTCACGTGATCGAATCGTAACTTCGCAGATTAAAAGAACTTATTTTCGTGATGATTTACGCCAGCGAGTCCACTGTCGAGATGATGTAAGCATTTATATTCAGGACATTCAATCAAACACATTCATGTCGATTCGCTTTCTAACCACGTGAAAGCAATCGCCGTACTGTAAGGTCGAAATTATAAGGTATCGATCAACATCCGCAACATTTGCGATTCTTGGTTGTATAATGCGCGATCATAGGACAGTAATGAGACAATAAGAGACATGAAATATACGTGAACAAAATTGATAAATAATAACACCATTTGTTTCGTGAGCAAGGTTTATTGTTTTCTTTTCTTTTTTTTTTTATTCGGAAAATGTACGTTTATTTTCCATTATGAATATTTAATTTATTTAGTTTCCTCTTAATGAGACTAATTTTTCGCTGTGTCCTCCGTGATACAATTGAATTAGCACAAATCTATATCGACGTTGACAATACGCTATTTAAGATGTAAAAATAGCGAAACTTAATATATGTATTATTTATTCATTATAGTAGACATTGAATACAGAATTTCGAATGCCTAAGAAGTCAGGAAAAGAGCTTTTGAGGCTTATTTAGCAATATTGTTAGCCGACCAAGGATTCAACAGAATTCAAAGGAAAGAATTCAAAGAATAAATGAATTTTGTACTTACCAGTATGCGAAGTAAAAAGAAAAAAAACAAGAAACGAGTTAAGAGTTAGTCTGAAGTAATCGACGTTCGATCTTGTTTTATAATTTCGCCGTTACATCTTTACAGCTGGACTGATAGATGTAATTTAAGATAATTGCATCGCCGTCTCTCTTGAGGTTGACCGATTCCTAGCTTTGACCAATTTCCCCACTCGTCGTGATACGAATTGCATTCGAGAACGGATAACGACCAAGTGTAGCGTGTGCATTCCTCTGTAACTAATGTAATAATCAACGACAAAGAGACTTTTATACGTCGGCATATATATTCTGGTTGCAATTGTATGTGAATATGTATGAGACTCCCTTATATCTGTGTGTGAAATCTGAGAAGATAGCGAGAGGTGAAAGGATCCAATTTGCTGAAAGACTTGGATTAGAGTGCACGCGAGAGTTTCCATTGGATTCACGTGAGCGAGCCATTTGTAATCCTATTATCAATTGAGTTGTCTCTCGCGTACATGATCCTTCGAGTATAAAAATACCAAAGCAACGCGTTGATTTCGAACAAGCGAATTAAATGTTGCGGAATGCTGTTTCTTTTTATCATTAAAAAGTTTCGACATGTGTAAATGACTTAATGCGATATTTTTGCACCTGTTGCGGCTGATAACGAACTCGGCCAGTTCCCTTTGCAAGTGTTCCGCGATCAATATCTCTTAATTTTATTACCGATATCGATATCTGTTTTTTTCTCATCGAAAATTATTCTTGCCGACAATTTCTGGAGGACTTTTTTTATAGCGATTACTCCAGTAAACAAAGGCATTTCGATTATTTGCACTTTATATCGCAGATAACAACATAATATATTCATTTTGATCTGTTTATAGAAAACTGTATAATAATTTATCAACTACACACACGTATACAGCGAAAAATGATATTTTTAGACACGGTGTCAACGAATCAAATCTGAGATCTTCACGATTTTCAAGATACTACGTGAGTGTATCTCCGTAAGTCGCATGTAATTTATGCTGCGATATTAAGTGTTACTCAAACACGACGGATAATCACGGATGTTTCGATTTTTGTACGTGACCTGGAGGTTTCCCGTCTGGGATGCTATGCAAAGATATATTTCGTTAAGTTATACGTGTAAAAATGTGTAGACTATTTTGTATAATGATTCAATATATGTGTCGTGCGACATACTGATGTCTTTTTTTCTTTATTATCATCTCCCCGTTAGCTTCCCGTACACTTCTGTGATTACATTTATTCCAATGCATTTATTCTCCAGGATATGTTAATGCAATAAAACCGGTGCCGCTCTAATTCATAATATAATCCGTAGGTTCTCAAACTGGCAGAAACAAGAAATCCGCAACGAATCCAAAGGAAGAGAATGTAAGAGGAAGATCTCAGCGAGAAATGAATCATCGAATCGACGTCGATTTGATGTCGACTTGACGTCTATTCAATGTTCATTTCTCGCTGGGATATAGGAAAGAATGGTATTTGTATATAGTCTAAATTTATTTCAGGAGGTAATATTAAAATGAAAAAAGAAATTTCTACATAATTGTTATTTTATTAACTCAAAAAAAGGGATCTCTCAATCAATGCAATTGATAATATCGAGAAGAGAAATAGAAAATTTATTGATATAATTATATCAACATTATTTTGATTAATTTATAACAACTATATTTTATATAATATGTAGTACCTTAGAATAACATTTATTTGCGTCATTATTAATGATCTGTCTACAATCTAGCAATAACAAATCCAGTGATGATATCAAGAAACAATTAATTTTAGCGACTTAAGTTGGAATACTGCTTCATAATTGGTTGCTTCATGATAATCGTTGCGTGACTCTGTATTGAACGCACTCAACATCGATATCTAAGATTAACTGCTTATCGTATGAGGAAATCATTACATGTTATAGTTATTATTATCATATCCTATACATCTTGAATTTATCGACTTTGGAAAGTAAAAGAATTATCTGAATTTCTATGTGTTCAAGTTTCTCAATACTTTTACCGATTGTTACATATATTTTAGAGCATTTAAAATTGAATGTTTTTCAGTGAAACACTACCGAATTTTACAAATTTATTTTTATGTCTAATAAAATTAACTCAACGACTAAAAGAAAATGATTTTTCGTTAAGCGAAGATATGAATAATAAAAATAAAATATAACCTAATAATTAGATTACAATATATTATATGAAATAATATGAAACGCTTGTGCTTGTATGAATTGTTTTGTTAAGTAAAAGTTTATGTAATGTTACAGATTAGATTTGAATTTATCATCATTTTCAATAGAAGAGTGTTTATTTCACCTTTGCACATCGCAATTATCTACTCTCATACATGTTCTCTCTATTTTTTTGTATTTCACCTTATTACACAACATATCATATCTCTGATATGTATGTTATATCTGAGCTCGGCGGTATTCGCGATGATTTGTCTCCGAACCTCGATCAATTTGTATATAGAAGCAAAGTCAGTGGAATAACTGCGGTAAAAGAATAGTAATAAGCAAAAGATACAGCAATTCTATTGTTCCATATTTATAATGCAATATATTATTATTTATCTAGGAACCATCTTGATCGCACACGTCGTATATGATTTGTGTTAGTAGTTAAAAGTGAATCAAGAAGTTGATTCACGTAGTGCGTTCAAATTGTTTTCTCCGAAGCTATTTGAAATAACGAGACATTATTGAATATTTTGACGTTCATTGAGAATAAGTCGATTGTTCTCACCATTCTGCGGGTAAAAATATTAAATTAAGATTATCGAGAAAACCTCAAGAGATATTTGGTATTTCTTTCAAACGTCTCCTCCACGGTACAAGATTTGGTGTCAAAAACAGTCCACTGAAATTTTGTGTTACTTTAACACGGGGAATGTGTTAATTTAACATATGTTAATTTAGCATACCCTGGTAAGATTGAATATGTTAATTTAACATTATATTCATATGCTTTTCAACACATGCGCCGTATTAAAACAATACAAAATGTCAGTGGACCGTTTCTGACACATCATTTTTCACTATGTGATACGAAACATGAAATATTTTCATACATTCTCATCCTTTCGTTTTCCGGTTAAGATCTTCAAACATACATTCCTCGCTCCCAAATGTAGATTAACCGGGAGTGCGACTCATTTCCATAATAAATCGCCTCCGTACACCTTCGTCGAGAAGAATTTCACTCCCCTGTGGAATTAGTCGGCCGATGAAACGTGCGGTGAAAAGAGCCTCCGACGGTTTCTCATCCGATTAACATGGAGAGAGTCAAGTGGTAACCCAAACAGGTGGAGGGCCCAAACAAATACGAAACCAGGCGGTGAGAATCGGCCGCGTGCGTGTCACGGTGCGAGCCTACATGGATTTCATGTCGCTTTTCATTTATGGAAGGATCGATATACATGCTGATCGAGAATGGAAGATGAGCGTCCGTTATATCGTCCAGCTTACTGGTTGCAAGCGTGTGCCTTACGCATCGCTCTTGTGCATGCGGTCGTCTCTTCCAGCGGAGAGGAGTCGTTCAGTGGAGTTTGAGCAGTCGTGACGCTCACATCAGAGGTTCGTACGTCACGCAGGATCTACACTGCATCGTGGCAAGATCGGGATCGATCTTTTGATGCGAGACTTGTACGGCATCACGTGACTCTTCCGACGACAGTTTCCCCGTTCAAGGCCGCGACCATGACCGGATTGCTGCTGTTTGTTTTGGCGATCCTGATGAGCGGCGAGGCGCTCGTGAAATCCGATTATTGGCAAATACGGAAGCAGTTGTTGATGGACGAGCAGCGACGCTCACTAGGCGGCGACTTGGACCTGGGATCCGTCGAACTCAAAGCTAATCAGGTCCTGATGGCGGCCAAGAATCGGGAGATCAACGACGGTTCGATGCTTTCCTTCGTAATCGTGAGCGCGCGATCGACCAGCGACCGACAAGTCGTTAATTTTTACGATCAATAAATGGTAGTCGTACTGAGTGCGTTAAAATCCGTAACTACTTGAATAAGTGAGGAACTTTGTGCCGAGTATGCGCGAGTTACCGAGTAAAGGAAACGTTAGAGGAGAGGAAAGTTTTTAGATCGCTGATTAACCGGTTTGTCCTTACCTCCTCTTCTCTTATTTCTTTTGCACAAAGTTTGGTGGGACCGGGAAACCGATGATTCTACATGAATAAGTAGAGAAAGTGTAGAACAAAATTTGCTCGCGTGAGGCTTCGTTTTCGAGAAAATTGGTCTGCAAACGGAGGAAAATAATGTTGCTGTTGTAGCGAAATTATCGTTGATTCGTACTGCATGCTCGACTTCGCGACTGCAATAAAACATTTGCACACACATAATATCATCTATTTCGAGACACCTTACAAAATTGATTCGCGAGTGTCGTCATAGTATAAAATAGTTTCTCCAGTGTTCTCGAAGTGTTCTTGAATTTATTTATAATATTTATTTATTTAATTTAATTCGAAGATTCTTTAAAAGCCATTTTTATCGCGTGGATCCCGCTATGAGTAAACTCGATTATTCAAAATAGCTTTATCGATATGAGTATAATCAGTATATAAACATACATCCGAAATATATCGTCTGACAGTTCGGTCAGAATTCGCCTGCGTCAGGAAATGCAGTCGGCCGTTTCACAATTAACAGGAATGAAACCGCGTAATTATCAATGGCCTTGTATTACCACGAAACCACATAGCCGCAAGAAACGATGTTATCTCACGTCGCGACGAACGTTGCATCGGGCGATTCGCCAGGATAGAAAGTAACAACATTTATTCACGAGTTTCTCCATTCACGAGATCGTTCTCACGCGAAGACTACCGCGGCTTTTCCCGCAGGTTTTCGTACCGGCGACAGTTTCCTGCCGGCGCGCAATTTCATGGAGGTGATATCGGAAATCGAGAACTCCCAGGTCTTCAAGATCCTGCGCGAGCTACCCAAAGGCGGCATCCTTCACTGTCACGACACAGCCATGGTTTCCCACGAATACAAGCTCCACAATCTCACTTATCGCGACAACCTGTACATTTGCGACGTAAACGGCACACTGAGCGTCAAGTTCTTCGACACTCCCGACAGGAAGTGCGACTGGCAATTGCTGAGCGACGTGCGACAGAACCCGGCGCGGGCTGACGCCATCAATAAGAGAATCGCAAAGGAGATGACGATGATCACGAAGAATCCACGAATAGTCTACGACACCGTCGACAAGGCGTGGAAGAAATTCGTCAGCATATTCAGCTTCATCACCCCCATGCTCGTCTACAGACCCGTCTACGAGGACCAGTTCTACCAAGCGCTCCAGGAGTTTTACGACGACAACGTCATGTATGTGGAGCTGCGATCGACGTTGCCCAAATTGTACGATCTCGATGGCAAGACGTATGGGCCCCTGGAAGTCACGAAGATCCATAAGGATGTCGCTGAAAGGTAAGGCATTTCTAGCAGGGATGATGGTTAAGTTAATTTTTTACTTTTAAGTAAATTAAGTTAAGGGTTACCTAAACACAAAAACTAACTTAATTAAAAATCAAGTTGAAATTAAATTAATTGATTAAAGTTAAAAATTGATTGTGCAAAACCAATTGTATACAGGGTGTCCAACGCGTCCGAAACTATGCAAAATGGATACGACAGATCAAGCTGGAAAATATGGCCGAAGTCATTCTCCAGCGTAAAAGATCAGATTAACTTCTGACTAACTAGTCATTACCGAATCCTGATTTTTAATATTTTTCACTATTTTATGTCTGCACAGAAGAAACAATCCCGTTGATGTGAATTAAATTTTCCGTTGCCTGACCAGGCGAAAACTCGATTATAAAAACGGAAAAATTCCTGTAAAAAATTTAGATAGTCAATTACTCTCAATTGAATTTGAATACAGCTAAGTATTCACACGGATGCTCTCAGTCGTGGTAACAGAGATATCATTTCTCGTCTCTACTTTTCATTTGGTTCTTAGTCAGTTGCAGGAACTGAGATTTTTCCCATATATGTATGTGTGTATGTGTGTATTCCAATTAATCGGCTGTCTCATATTAGATAAAGTTATCCTGACTTTCCGATAAAAGGAAGAATTCTACGAAATAAGTTTTAATTTCTACGAAATAAGTAAATTTTTTTAAGCATTATTATGAAACGTTCTTCTCTTATCGTGGAAGATTTTAACCGGAGAGACTCTAACTGCGGAGACCCGAGTATTACCTTACATAATTTACAGTGGCGTTAAAAAAGAAGTTCTACGTATACGAGCGGATGTAACAGATGAATGCACCGCAGGTTTACGAACGACCATCCCGACTTCATCGGTGTTAAGCTCATATACGCTCCGTCGCGAGCCGTTGACGCCGGACAATTGGATAATTATCTGGAAATAATGGCGCAGCTGAGGAAAGATTATCCGGACTTCGTGGCTGGTTTCGACTTGGTTGGCCAGGAGGACAAAGGGCAGCCCCTCACTACGTTCGCGGACAAACTGAACTCCGCCGATCCGCAGATTCAATTCTTCTTCCACGCCGGGGAGACCAACTGGAACGGGTTGTCCACCGACATGAATATCCTCGACGCTTTCCTGCTCAATACTAAACGTATCGGTCACGGGTTAGTAGCGCTGCTTTTTCTCCACGCGAGCCAAGCAAGAGTCGATAAAAAGATTCAAAGTAAAAAAGTTAGTCGGAGATAACGAGAAGTCGAAGATAAAACTCGATTTACGATTCTATTAATTATGTGTAAAAATTATTCAATGGGACAGCTTACCTAATTGTCTACTTGAGAATTCGAGAAGATAAACTATACGAAGCACGACTCGCATGTCCCTTGGCTCACTTGATTTTATTAAGCCTCGGCTATCTTCAACAGTCATATTGTTTGTATGATGTCAGAGGCGAGAAGTGACATACAGTCAATTGTTTGCAACATATAAATGTACTTTTTAGTTTTCCTAGAAAAATTTAATAGTTTCGTAATCCTGAAATCTGCGAAAAATATGCGGCGAACTGAGGTGTCCGTCCAATATGTCACGTAGAATCGCAAAATAATTCCTGAAACATCCGGTACATTTTTCGGTACAGCCATTGTCAGCTAAATCCATAAATCTGAAAAAATTGTTTTTCAGGAATAACTAAAAAACAAATCTATACAAAGAAATTTACTGCCTATCATATTTATCGTTTCTGACGTCATATTAATATAATTGCCGGAGATAGCCGAATCTTAAGAATAGATTTAATACACAGACGGATTTTTCAAATGTCGATGACTGTACCTTCTCAGATACGCGTTGACGAAGCATCCACTCTTGTGGGACTTTGTGAAACAGCTAGAAATCGCCGTAGAGATCTGTCCGATCTCGAACCAGGTCCTCGGTCTCGTGGACGACATGAGGAATCATCCGGCGGCCAGCTTGTTCGCGTCGGGGTCACCTGTGGTGATCTCCAACGACGATCCCGCGCTCTGGGGCGCGAAAGGACTGAGCTACGACTTTTACGAGGCCTTTATGGGCATCATGAGCGCAAGCTCGGATCTCAGAAGTCTCAAGAAACTGGCGCTGAACTCACTGACCTACAGCAGCATGAACAGCTCGGAGAGGCAGGACGCGATGACTCGATGGAATGTCAAATGGGACGCCTTCGTGGCGAAACTGGCCGAATCGTCCAGTTAAAGATTGTCAGTCAGTTAGGAAAAAACGACAAATCGCGAACTATAGAATGTATTTTTACCTTCTTAGTTTTATTATTGGTAATGCGTAATCGATAATATATAAATATATTTTCAGAATGTGTGTGCCATATATATGTACTCTAATCATAGGTGTAGCCAAGGTGGAGGGGAAGGAGGGATAGGGGCGCTTACCCATATACACCTAAATTTTGGCAAATATTCGTGCATCACGATTACTGCTTTGGAATATCCTTGCCGGTTCACAGAATAATCAGCAGTCATGGTGCATGAATATTCCGAAATGATGACGTCTAATTCGAAATTTCAATGGGACAGCAATGCATCGTACACGGAAAAATGGTGCTCGCGTAAAGAAAAAAAATTGGAAGAATAGATATTTAGGAAAGTTTATTGAAGATCTCTGCGAAGACTGGCTTTAATATAAGTATGCTAATAAGTTTTGCGTGAAAATAAATATTTATCCTCCCTCCCTGATCGACGTCATCTTGGTCTTACGCTCATGATTCTAATAATCATCTCTGATAATTTATCAAAACATTCATTAGATGTCGAGAATATTTCTGGTTACTTGATACCGGATATGATCATACAAGAATATTTTGTACAGTAGGAATATTTTATCTTTTGGGTGTTACCCGGATACCCTGTAGTTATACTGTTATTTTAGACGTTATTTTTTATTGATTTCTCTAACGATAACAGATAACAAGTGGGTTATATAAACTCGTAATTTATCATTCACTTGTTATATTATTTTCTGATTGCCGCGATAATATCCATGAATATGAATGTCCGGTTACCGGACACGATCAGGCAAGAATATTTTATTACGTCGCATTGTTACTCGTGTGATCGATCTCCGTGACGTACTTAGAATGTAGAAAATTGTTATCAGATAAAACTGCTAACGCATTATGTACTTCTCGATTTTACGCTCTTGCGTTCGCATCCGTTCCCATAAAGGTGTGATACCTTTGGACGGTGTATTATTCGTAGAATTAATAGAATCGTCTAAACATAAATCTCTACTACCTCATCTCACGTTCATTAACGACTCATTATCGCATGGACATCTTTTTCCTCGCACATGTCCAGTAAATTGCGCTCAGAGAGGAAACCTGTTATTGTGGCGGCAGATTCTTCGCGAGGATATTACACGGATATGCTATAATTAGATGTAAGAATTATTCGAAATAAATTATATTTCTTTTTTACTACTACGCACGACGCGACGGCTCATTAATTCATGCAGCCTACCGTAGAAAGTTGCGAGCCGAATAAGAGGTCTTGCAGAAATCTGCCGAAATAACATTCACTTCGCATTACTAAAATACATGACGGATGACATTTTAGTCGCATTTGCGTCAACTGTTGTTTAACTATTGTACTTTCATAATGCTCTAGATACAACTATATACACGGGTTTATATACACAAGAGAGAATACTATGTATATATAAAATATATACATATAACTACAAAATATATGATCAAACATGATGCGTACGTTGATTAATTCGATGCGTGCTGCAGAAGATTGAAAGCTGAGTAAGACGTCTTAAAAATCTAAGGAGATTAAATTAAAGTGACATCATTATGATATTTTTTATACGGGTACTTTTTTTTTATATTCGCTCGGATGTTCAGAAAATAGCAATACCAATAAGATCGAACTGTTTGTTATTGATAATGGTAAACTGGCAAAAAACAGTTTTGCATATAAATTCTTTGTGAGTAAATATAAGTAACATATGATTATTTACATGTATTGAGTTTTCGGCTTACCCAAGTAAAGGTGTCCAAGCACAGTGTGAATATTCCATGATAGGAAAACACGAACCCTTTCTGACTGTTTATCATTATGAGCACCATAGATCTGCGTTCTCGCGGCGTCGCCATTGTCCAATTGCTAAAATAAATGGCACTCGCGATTCTTTTGCTCTGCAAACAGGAACCGTATGTTTTCACTTGTACATTAATATGATCCGATATCTTTTTGCAAGATAATCAACGTTCTGCAAGTAACGATTTTAAATAAGTAATTAACCGAATATGTAATTTCGGAATAAGTCTATTCTAAATATGCAATAAGTGATTACATAAATAACTACAATATTTCACTAACCGTTTCACCTTCAACTCAAGCTCATTCCCGTACCAGCAGTAAAAAAATATCTGCAACATTATGCCGCTAAAGTACAATATTAGCGAAAAGAACTCGACGGTAAAGAGTTGTGTCTGCAAGAGAAAATAAGCAGGAGTGAAGAATAAAAGCGAAAGCAAACTATTTAACTACGTGCTTATTACAATATTTAAAGTAATAAATATTTAATAATATATATTTAATAATAATTATAAATACTTAATCAGAGATGAAATCTACATAAATTACGTACAAGAGAAAGACTTTCTGAGAGGTATAATAAATATAAATTCCGTACAAATATTTCTGCGTTTCTCAACCTTCGTAATAAGGAAAATGCTGGTGCAGAAAATGATCAGACTGAAGAAGAAGAGAACCGTCACCGTCCAAATGAATAATGCTCCCACTCCCCTCACAAAAGTGTATATGAGTATATGATGCTTGACGCACTCTTCGATCGACCAGTTCGCCCCCGATCTCTCCCGGAGAGTCTCCGAGGCTGCAAGATCGTCCGTTAATCGGCGACAGATCAACTCGATCTGCCCGCACGCGTGTATCGTCAAGCCGTAAACGAGGGAGTCGAAGGAGACGTTGAGCATCACCGCGTAGAAAATCGCCGCAGCTTGCTGTAGATACGTCGCTGCATATGGAAGCAGTTTCGTGATGGAATATGGGATATATGATTTCAAGGGCAATACTCGTTCCCCTATATTTGCTTCTAAGGCCGGCGCAATCATTAAACCCAGGCCAGTCACATGCGATATTATCAGGAAGGAAAGAGCGCTCCACTTAGCTGTCACGGATCGTTTTGATTTCGGTCATTAAAGGATCATTCGCCTCGCCAGTGCTTGTGTTAATAACAAGATGTGAAAGGAATTCCAAACTGATTATTTAATTTTTTTTTCTTTGTAAAAAGACTCCCTGAGCTGTTGTGCTGATTATAAAATGTAAAAGGAATTTAAAAATGATTTCCCTTCCTTTTTTCTTCTTCCTTTTTTCTTCGTCACCCAGTAAAAAGTGATAATCGCAAGAGTGAAAAAATTGGACTTGGTCGTGCAAAACGGATTTGATCCGAAACACGTGCGTTAGAATTTCGACAATTATTATCCGGTACCTTTCCGACTGTGTGCCTCTATTATCAGCCTTTCCGTGTGATTCCTCGGCTGGCACATTTTCACGCGCAGGCATTCCAGCAGCGCCGACAGTTCGTCCCTTCGCAGCAGGAAGTTGGCGTATTTCAGGCACAACGTTATGAAAGTCGACATCATAAAAAGTCCTTCCGTCACTTCGCTAATGCGATTGCGCATGCGAATCACCTCTATCACCTCGAATATCGTGAACTGGTATATCAAGAGGAGAACTGCGTATCTGCGAGTACCAACAGCGCGATCAATAATCGGTTAGTTGTGCGTTTATCAAGCGTGTTTCGTTCGTCGTATCGTTTATAAATACCTATAGCAAGAATGCAGGAAAGCGAGAACGATGTTCTCCTCTTTCCGCTCCTTCCACGCGCCGCAGAACCACAGAACTTTAAAGTTCACCGGCAGGATGTCCATATTCTCTTGGCGTTATCACCCCCGTGTCGTTTGACCTAATCGTGTTTCAGTCGATGCATATTCTTTTCCGTGTCTCAATAATATATGAGAGCCGAGACACATTCCGTCCGAAAACAACGACAAGAAATCGCCCGCGTCATTCCGGCGCTACCGGCTGCATTAGTAATGACACGCGTGGGACATCATCGAGGGTATTTGAAATTTTAATGCAATCACTGGATGTTTCTTTTCGAGTTTTTGCCCCTTCCTAGTGTGGGGAGAAGGAAAAAAGAAAACCTTTAGCTTCTGCATGCGATATGTTTTCGATATAATGACAAGTTTGTCGTAATAGACAGCGCATGCCGTGCCTACTAAGGTACAAAGTGTACGCAAGGAGGCTTCCTATTAATACTCGATGAAATATTAAATATTGATGTTCTATGCTTCCTATTAATCGATGAAATATTAAATATCTATGTTCAATGCTTCACGTGAATAAAAAAAAGCCACCAGGTGTCGCGAACAAAATTATACCTTTCGATGTGCATATACTTAAAAGTTTTAGTAATCTGGAAAAGAATCGATTTCAATCTATTTCAACTTTTACGTTTGCCTCAGAGATATACGGTCATAAAAAAGAGCAACATAGCATTCTATAATGCGTTGCTTCTTCTAATAACACAGATGTGGTCATATTAACGCATTATTGCAGAGCGTTGAAGTTGGAACAGGACGTTTTCTATCTACAACAGAATCATCGATCTCTGTTTCGTCACCGCAGTTTTCACAGCAGTTTTCTCCGCGTACCAACTGTTGTTGCGTTATTTTTAATGTCTATCGGTAAATATGTCAATAACAAGGTTCTATATGTATTATAAGAATATATTATACAAGCATAAGTAACAAGGATATCGCCAAAACAATTGGAAGTGCTAATCTGCCAGTCTGATCATTGAAGTCAAATAACTACGGCTCGAAGTGGACCTGACCGCCGCTCGAAATAGAAACCACAGAAGAATATGAAGTATCATATTTTTTTCTTATGCATAGTAGGTGATCTCGATAAATCTTTAAATTTTAACGAAGAGAAAATGACAAAAAACGCTGCATAGCATTAAAAAAGCACAACAAATTTAAAGACGTCGTTTTTACGATTTGTCAATTGACGTCATTATGACCTTACAAAAATGACGTCAATGGATTTTGACATAATCACAGACACGTCGAAATGATGTCGATCGACAAGTAACTAATTACGTTTACGGGTCGAAAAAGTCACATCATTTTGACGTCACTTTGTTAGCTGGAGGATGATAATTCAGTTTTACTTGTGTCAACTAATTATATTTTCGTAATAATTCTGATACAATTATATATACAGGTTTATTATATGAGAGAGAATATCGCGAATATATAACTACAAAAAAATATCATATTTCTCTTTTATGATAGACACGAATATTGACTAATTCGACGCCTGTTGCAGAAGATTGAAAGCCGAGTAAGATGTATTAAAAATCTAAGAGGATTAAATTAAAGATACATCATTATGATATTTGTACATCCGGATACTGTTTATTTTCATATTTGTTTAGATGTTTAAAAAATAACAATAGCAACAATAAAATCGAACTGTTTGTCGTTGGTATAATGATAATAGTAAATTGGCAATAAACAAGTAATAGCTTTGAATATAAATTTTTTGTGAATAAATATAATTAACAAGTGTTTATTTACATATTTAGTTGCTTTCGACTTACCCAAGTAAAAGTGTCCAGACACAGTGAGAATATCCCGTGATAAGACAACACGAACCCTTTCTGACTGTTTATCATAATGAGCACCAAAGATCTGCGTTCTTGCGGTGTCGCCATTGTCCAATTGCTAAAATAAATGGCGTTCGCGATTCTTTTGCTCTGAAAACAGGAATCGTACGTTTTCACTTATACATTAAAATAATCCAATATATTTTGCAACATAATCTCTAAAACTTTACAAATAATGACGTTAAATAAATAATTAACTGAATATGTAATTTCTGAATATGTTTATTCTGAATGTATAATAATTAATTACATAAGTAACTAAAATATTGCATTAATCGTTTCACCTTCAACTCAAGCTCATTCCCGTACCAGCAGTAAAAAAATATTTGCAACATTATGCCGCTAAAGTACAATATCAGCGAAAAAAACTCAACGGTAAAGAATTTTGTCTGCAAAAGAATATAAGTGGAATTGAAGAATACATAATGCGAAAGCAGTAGAATACAAACGATATGTATTATTATGCATATTATATAAAATAATAAATATTTAATTATAAGTACTTAATTAGAACTGAAACCTAAGTAAATAACATATAAAAGAGATTGCTGGAGGTATAATAAATATAAATTCCATACAAATATTTCATAATTTCTCAACCTTTGTAATGAGGAAAATGCTGGTGCAGAAAATGATCAGACTGAAGAAGAAGAGAACCGTCACCGTCCAAATGAACAATGCTCCTACTCCCCGTACAAAAGTATATATAAGTAGATGATGCTTGACGCATTCTTCGATCGACAAATTCTCCCTTGATCCCTCCCGGAGACTCTTCGAGGCTATAAGATCGTCTATTAATCGGCGACAGATCAATTCGATCTGGCCGCACGCGTGTATCGTCAAGCCGTAAACGAGGGAGTCGAAGGAGACGTTGAGCATTATCCCGTAGAAAAGCGTCGCAGCTTGCTGCAGATACGTCGCCGCATATGGAAGCAGTTTCGTGATGGAATAAGGGACATATGATTTCAAAGGCAAGATTCGTTTCCCTTTATATGCTTCTAGAGCCGGCGCAAACATTAAAGCCAGGCAAGTCGCTTGCGATATTATCAGAAAGGAAAGTGTGCTCCACTTAGCTGTCATGGATTGTTTCGATTTATTTTATTAAAAGATCACTCGCATCGCCAGTGCTTGTGCCGAGCGCAAGATGTGAAAGAAATTCCAAAATAATTTCTTCGATACTTTTTCCCTTTTAAATAGACACTCTGAGCTGTTGTGCCAATGTAATCACAAAATGTAAAAAGAATTTTAAAATAATTTCTCTACCTTCTTTCCTTTTATCACCCGGTAAAAAGTGACAATCGTAAGAACGGAAAAATTGGACAGTAGTGCAAAGCAAATTTGATCCGAACCACGTGCATACAGAAAAAGATTTCTTTAGATTTAGAATTTCTATTTATTTGACTAAAATTTGTTTAGACAACATGTACTTATACGAAATATTATTTATTTGTGAATAAAAATTTTGTTGTCTCATTCAAGAAAACACGGTTATTTAACAGAAAGAACGCTATTATTTAAAATAATATTTTTTAACCAAATAAAATACTATTTGGTTACACTAAATATGTAATATGAAACAGATAATTTCTTGATAAGAAAATTGTCTTTCGTTTCAAATTTTTTATTTAAGATAAAAATACATATTCGTTGAAAAATCTGATAGTCATACTTATTAATTGAAACATTAGTTTCTTTGAAGCATGACAATGATGAAATTTGTTTGAATGCGATAAAATTGATTAAATTTGAAAAAAAACCTTTTTCTCAATGTTCGTTAGGATTTCGATAATTATTAGGCAATACCTTTCCGACTGTGCGCCTCTATTATCAGCCTCTCCATGCGATTCCTCGGCTGGCACATTTTCACGCGCAGGCATTCCAACAGCATCGACAGTTTGTCCCTTCGCAGCAGGAAGTTCGCGTATTTCAGGCATAACGTTACGAAACTCGACGTTAAAAAAAGCCCTTCCGTCACGTCGCCAATGCTATTACGCATGCGAATCAACTCTATCACTTCTAATATCGTGAATTGGTATATCAAGAGGAGAACTGCGTATCTGCGAGTACCAACAGCGCGATCAATAATCGGTTAGTTGTGCGTTTATCAAGCGTGTTTCGTTCGTCGTATCGTTTATAAATACCTATAGCAAGAATGCAGGAAAGCGAGAATGATGTTCTCCTCTTTTCGCTCCTTCCATGCGCCGCAAAACCACAGAACTTTAAAGTTCACCGGCAAGATATCCATATTCTCTTATTCGTTCACGTTATCACCTCTGTATCGTTCCACCTAATATCGTCTCAGACGATGCATATTCCTTTCCGTACTCGATAATATATGAGAGCCGTTTGTCCGAAAAATAAACAACAATAAATCACCCGAGTCATTCCGGCGCTACCGGCTGCATTAGTAACGACATGCGTGCGACATTATCGGGGACATTTGAAATTTTAATACAGTCGCTGGATATTTCTTTCCGAGTTTTTTCTCTCCGTATTGCGGAGAGAAAAAGAAGAATACATTCACTTCCGCGTGCAATGTATTTTCGATGTAATAACAAGATTGCCTTAATTTTAAAACGGCGTGTGGCATGCCAATTGCTGGACAAAGATTTATGCGATGAGACTTCCTATTAATACTCGATGAAGTATTGAATATTCGACGTTCTCTATATTTCGCGAATGAATTACATATGGAAGCGGTAGAGAACTTCTTGCTATCGTAAGATCACCATGGGGGACACAAACAAAATTATACTGTTCGATGTTGCATATGCTTAAAAGTTTTACTAATCTGGAAAAAATCCTATTTTTTCCTTCAAAGGACTTTTATGTTTGCCTGAGAGATACGCAGATGTAAAAGGGCAATGTGGCATCCTATAATGTGTTGTCGCTTCTAATAACACAGATCTGGTCGGTGATATCGACGCCTGTTGCAGGACTTTTAACGTAGAATAGTGCGTTTTTAATATCTGCAACAGGACCATCATCGATCTCCGTTTCGTCACCGCTATTAAGTTACGCCGACCAGGTGTCGTCGTACTAAATTTTATCTAAGTGTAAGTGTCAAGAATCAAACTGAAGATGCCGTAATAAAACAATCTCATTTCCCTCTGACTGACAGTCATCGTGTACAGCAAATTGCTCGAATAAATTTGCGTCGCCGTGCTCTTGCTCTGCAGACGCGACAAAAATGTCTCCTCATGACATGTGAAAGATGATTTTGATTACGATGTCGGCATGAATTAAACGGAATGTAATTTTGACGTCATTTTAAATACTAAAATGGAATTGGAAAATGGAATGTCATTAGCATTTCTATGTACTATAAGAATATATTATATAAGCATACAATTCACAAGGATATCATCAGGGTCATTGGAATCAATACTATCCGTTCGATCATTCGAAGTCAAGCAACGGTGACCGGGACTCGGAGTGGGATGGGTGAGAGAATCCGACCCAGTCGAAAATGAAATTTTCGGCGAGCGATCCAAGCTGCGCTCGAAGTGTTCCGGTAAACTAGGTTGGGGAAGAGAGTTATTTTAAGCTTTTAACATATGCGGCAGACGCAGCTTGTTTAGAAAGTTCATTTTATTATGGTCCCTTCACTTGGAGCATTCGGAAGAAGCAGACACAACACACACAAATCTTCTTCGCGGAACAGCTTTCTGCGAGAGGTCGGTATGCATACGTAGAGAAAAAATGGGGGGGTGTTCCTCTCTGTGGTTTTTCAATCCTGAACGGCGATTGCTTATTTCCTATCGGTTATAACCCATTCGTTCACCTTCGAACAGTGGTCATCGCTGCTGGAATAATCTCGATGATCCAAACGGCTGGCACTGACTTCCAATTGCTCTGACGATATCCTTGTGCTTTAAGCTTATATAATATATATATAACATATATATAATATATCGTTAAGATGCTAAAACTAAAATTTCGATCCGTGGCAGTAGTTCATAAAACGAACAATTATATGGTCATGATAGCGTGCTTGGTAATTTTCAATAAATGTGCGCATTGTGAAGCAACGAGCAAAAACGTCCAGACAACACTTCAGAGTTTCTTAATATAATATATGACTTAATATATCGTTTACGGGCCGAAAAAGTCAAATCATTTTTTATGTCACCTTGTTAGCTGGGAGATGGCATTTAATCGCATTTGTGTCAATTGTTGTTCAACTATTCTATTTTCCTATTTTAATGATCCGGATACTATATATACTATATATATACACAAATTTATATACACGAGACAGAGTGCCGTGTATATATAAAATACATATATATAACTACAAAATAAATATCATGTTTCCCTTCTATAATAGATACGACGCTAACGTTAACTCGACGCCTGCTGCAGAAGATTGAAAGCCGAGTAAGATGTCTTACAAATCTAAAGAGATTAAATTAATGTTATATTATTACGATACTTGTATATCCGCGTAGTTTTGTCTTCATATTTGCTTGGATATTCAGAAAATAGCAGCAGTAACAATAAGACCGAATTGTTTGTCATTGGTAATGGTAAACTAGCAATAAATAGTTTTTTACATAAATTCTTTGTAAGCAAATATAATTAACATATACTTATGTATGTATTTAGTTGTTTTCGGCTTACCCAAGTAAAAGTGTCCAGACACAATGTAAATATTCCATGATAGGAAAATATGAACCCTTTCTGACTGTTCATCATAATGAGCACCAAAGATCTGCGTTCTCGCGGCGTTACCATTGTCCAATTACTGAAATAAATGGCGTTCACGATTCTTTTGCTCTGAAAGCAGGAACCGTACGTTTTCACTTGTATATTAAAATAATCCAATATCTTTTTGCAAGATAATCAACACTCCGGAAGTAACGATTTTGAATAAGTATTTAGCTGAATATCTTCATTCCAAATATATAATAAATAATTGCACAAGTGTCTAAAATATCACATTAATTGTTTCACCTTCAGCTCAAGCTCATTTCCGAACCAGCAATAAAGAAATATTTGTAACATTACGACAGTAATGTACAACAACAGTGAAAAAAACTCGACGGAGAATAGTTTTGTCTGTAAATGAGAATAAGCAGGATTGAGGAACAAACGACACGAACAATAGAATATAAACTGTACGTACATCTATCGCATAAAATAATAAATATTTAATGTACAAGTACTTAATATGGGATAAAAATGAGATAAATTATGTACAATTATATACAAATTAAGAAACTCCACAGGAAGTATAATAAATATAAATTCCGTAAAAATATTTCTGTATCTCAACCTTCGTAATGAGGAAAATGCTGGTGCAGAAAATGATCAGACTGAAGAAGAACAGGACTGTCACCGTCCAAATGAACAATGCTCCTATTCTCTTGACGAAAGCGTGTATGAATATATGATGCTTGACGCACTCTTCGATCAACAAGTTCGTCCCTGATCTCTCCCGGAGAGTCTCCGAGATTGTAAGATCGTCCATTAATCGGCGACAGATCAACTCGATCTGGCCGCACGCATGTATCGTCAAGCCGTAAACGAGGGAGTCGAAGGAGACGTTGAGCATTATCCCGTAGAAAAGCGTCGCAGCTTGCTGCAGATACGTTGCCGCATATGGAAGCAGTTTCGTGATGGAATAAGGGATATATGATTTCATGGGTAAGACTCGTTCTTCTATATCTGCTTCTAGAGCCGGTGCAATCACTAAACCCAGGCCAGTCGCATGCGATAATATCAGGAAGGAAAGAGCGCTCCACTTAGCTGTCACGGATTGTTTCGATTTATGTCATTAAAGGATCTCGTCAGTGCTCCCGCCGATCGCAAGATGTAAGAGGAATTCCAAAATAACTTTCCCTATTCTTTTTCTTTTAAAGAATCACTATGAATTTGTACTAATCGCAAAATGTAAAAAAAGTTCTCATATGATTTCTTTAATGTTTTTTGCTTTTAAAGAGGCACTCTGAACTTGAGCCGATTAGAAGATGTAAAAGGAATTCTAAAATTATTTTTCTTATTCTTTCTTTCCTTTTAAAGAAAGATACCGAGCTTGTGCCAATCACAAGATGTCGAAGGAATTGGTAAATGATTTCTTTTCTTTCTTTACTTTTATCACTCAGTAAAGAGTGATAATTGCGCAACAGTGAACAAATTTGACGGTCGCGTCTTTCGATCGTGCACAACGAATTTGACTTGAACCACGTCAGAATCTCGACAATTGTTGTCCATTACCTTTCCGACTGTGAGCCTCTATTATCAGCCTTTCCGTATGATTCCTTGGCTGGCACATCTTCTTGCGCAGACATTCCAGCAGCGTCGACAGTTCCTTCTTTCGCAGCAGGAAGTTCGCGTATTTCAGGCACAACGTTACGCAAGTCGATGTTATGAAAAGCACTTCCGTCACGTCACCAATGCGATTACGCGTGCGAATCAGCTCTATCATCTCGCATATCATAAACTGGTATATCAAGAAAAGAATCGCGTACCTGCGGGCATCAACATCGCAATCAATGATCACTGAGCGGACATTTTGAGACTCAAAGGATCTCTATCTTTAAGACACACATTTTTGGGAAAGTTTTACATTTAACTCGGTGATCAGATTTTCTGATTCATGCACATCGATCTGCGAATTGGGTCGCGTTAACTCGCAAATTTAAGTTTTCCATGATCAAAATGAAAAAAAAATTGTTTATAGGCAAATAAGAGCCGAACGGTCAAGTGTTTCGAGTCAAATTGATTTTTTGGCTCTTACTTGCTTTTAAGATTTTTTTTCTTCTTAATTGTAGTATTCGGAGAGCCTTTTAATTTATATAATTTTCTATGATTTCCATCTTTATTTTTGACACTAATCGCGCGAGTTGCGCCTTACCAAGCTTAGAGAAACATATATTTCGTAAACAATACGCAGTAGCATATCTTGACATAAATTTTTATAATTCTTGCAACAAAGGAGTTAATGTAACAAAATCTAAAAATAAAAATAATTATTTTTCTCCAGAAGCATTAAAAGTTTTTTTTAAGTTGATTGGTCGATTAACAATCATCAAGGAAAGGATAGGTCTACCTGTTCGGTTAGCAGTACGTTAATTAGACCTGTCTAGCTCGTCACATCGTTTATAAATACCTCATAAATACCTGTAACAAAAATGCAGGAACGCGAGAACGATGTTCTCTTCTTTCTGCTCTTTCCACGCTCCGCAGAACCACAGAACCTTGAAGTTTACCGGCAGAATGTCCATATTCTCATGGCGTTATCACCTCCGTGTCTACCCTAATCCCATCTCATTTGATGCATATTCCTTTCTGTATCTCAATAATATATGAGAACCGAGACACGTTCGTCCGAAAACAACGACGAGAAATCACCCGCGTCATTCCGACGCTGCCGGATGCATTAATAATGACATAGTGCGACATCATCGGGGGCATTTGAAATTTTAACAGCCACTGGGTGTTTCTTTCTGAGTTTCGCCCCTCCCCAGTGTGGGGGGAAGGAAGAAAATAGAATCTTTAGCTTCCGCATGCGATGTGTCTTCGATATAATGACAAGTTTGCCGTAGTAGACAGCGCATGCCATGCCTGCTGCGGAACAGAGATGTATGCGACAGAGCTTCCTATTAATACTCGATGAAGTATTAAATATCGATGCTTCGTATTAATATTCGATGAAATATTAAGTGTCTATGTTCTATGCTTCGCACGAATGTACTATGTATGTAGAAGCGGTAGAGAACTTCTTACTACTGCAAGAAGATCACCGTGTGTGCCGCGAACAAAATTATACCATTCGATGTGTACATACATATTTAAAAGTCTCAATCTGGAAAAAGAGTCTATTTCAAATTCAATTTTTATGTTTGCCTGAGAAATACACGGATGTAAAAAAGGCGACTTAACATCCTACAATGCCGTTGCTCCTTCCAATAACACAGATCTGGTCGGTCATATCGACGCCTGTTGCAAGACATTGAAAGTGGAATAGGATGTTTTTAATATCTGCAACACAGGATTATCATCGATTTCCGTTTCGTTGTCGCTATTGATTTACGCCGACCGTATGTCGTCGTAGTAGATTTTACCCAGGTGAAAGTGTCAAGAGCCAAGCTGAAGATGCCGTAATAGGACATCCTCAATTCCCTTTGACTGATGGTCATCACGAGCAGCAAACTCCTGCGATCTTGTGACGTAGCTGTCGTCCAATTGCTCGAATAAATAGCGTCGCCGATGCTCTTGCTCTACGCATACATACAAAAGAACCCTCTTTATCAGTCAGTAAGCTCCTAACGTAAAGCTCCTAAGCGCATTTTCAGACAATCTATACACGCAATTCGGGACGGAATTTTAGATACAAATTGTGCATAATGGAGAAAATGTAAAGAAGTGGCAAAAAATAAAGAGGAGAAAAAAATAAACAAAAGAAGAGAAACGCGCTTCGGAGCGGACAATCGCATTATCGATCTCGATCACCTTTAGTCGCAGCTCGTTTCCGTACCAGCAGTAGAAGAATACTTGATAGAGCATGCATCCGAGATACAAAACCAACGAGAGAAATCCGACGCTGAGAAGCTTCTTCTGCGAAGCAAACTTCTGGTCAGTACATCCGCACAGGCACGGCAATGTGCCGAACATCGCGAACTAGGTACTTCAGCAGAGTGTAGCGGCGTTTCTTTTTTTTTTTATCGCCGGTGTACTGTCCGCTATACAAAAACAAAAAGACAAAATACGCTCTAGTCTAATCGTTTTTTACGACGCCTGTCAGATCGCAATAAGTAAACAGACGATCGAAACGCGAGGTACTGATTTATACCCAACCTTGGACATCTGGAAAATACTGGTGCACAGGGTGACCATGCTGAAAATGAATAAAACCGTCACGGTCCACACGAACAACGACTGTATTCTGCGCACGAGCTCGTGCACGCGCAAGTGATGCCTCACGCACTCCCCGATCACCGCCGCTCTATTCGATTTGATCCGATACTGATCCGCGTCGAGGCAATCCTTGAAGATCTCCGATAGACGGTGGCACAACAGCTCGATTTGCCCGCAGGCGTGAAGAGTGAAGCCATAAACGAGGGAGTCAAAGGAGACGTTGAGCAGGACTCCATAAAATATAGCGGCCACGTGCTGCAAATACGTCGCCAAGTATAAATACCAACCGAATATGGAGTACGGCATGTACGTCTTGAAGGGCAACGGTCTGTCGCTGTCCTGCGGTCCCACGATAGGAGCGAACACGAGAGCCCAACAGGTAGCTTGAGACATGCTCATGAAAGTTCGAACGCACCACTTGGCTGCAAGCAACACGTATTTTCAGATCGGTGCAATGTTTAAATATAATTTTACGTGAAAATGTTCAAAGGAAATTTCGAGTCAATTTCAGGATTAAAAAATCATCATCTCGAGAGACAACGAATGACGTTGGATTGTTGTTGCGTCGAAAGTGTCAATTTTTTTATTTGGACGTGAAATTTGGGCGCAACTTTTCGAAAGAATCTTCAGAACGGTCAATCGTCAGATTGAAGGAAACAGAAAGAGGTCCCTGGTTGACTACCTTTACGGTCATATTTGATCAGGATCGTCCGCTCCTCGAAATTCTTCGGCTGGCACGTCTTGCTTCGAAAACAATTCAACAATATAGACACTTCGTCTCGCCGCGCCAAGAAGTTTCCGTATTTAAAGCACAAGGCTACATAAGTTAAAGTTAGGAAGAGTCCCTCTGTTATATCCTCAATGTGGTCGCGTGTCCTCACAAGTTCAATCACTTCCGATATCGTAAACTCGTATATTAATATCACTATAGCATACCTAAAAGTTTCACTGTGTCTTAACATCCAGCGGAATTGTTCGGACGTTATAAAAAAGAGCTTGATCAAAAAAGAATTACAAAGAAAAGAAAAGTATAGGAATAATTATGCGAAAAAATTAGTTCTATATAGACGGCGCATGTAGAAAATATATCGAGATGTAGTTGTAATTTCGAAAGTATACCGTAAAAGCACGATATTCCTGGACGAATATCACATTCGTCATCATACCTGTAACAGGAACTTAAGAAACGAATAAGAGGATTGCTCTCTTTTCTTTCGCTCCAGGCGCCACAGAACCACAAAATTCGAAAGTTCAGCGGTAGAATATCCATAATTCCGGGACGCCCGTTTCGATGACGTTTCACCCGACCAGTCGGCAGTCACCCTCTCGTCATGTCTCAAAGCACTTCGGAATACCGAAGCTTCGGTTGTGTGGAAAAAGGTAAAATGCATCAAGGCGTACATTGTCAACGTTCGTTCTCGTGAATTAGTAACGACGCCGATAGAACGTTCAGAGCGTCCCTTAACATTTAAAATGTCGTCTAATAGAGGACGGAGTTACGTGGATCTCCTCTTCTCGCTATATATTTCCCTTTCAGCCGTATTCAGTCGTACTTATTTTGAATATTCCCCTCTTAGCGAAGGTATGCGAGACACAGCTGCGCGATATTCTCATGAAATCACGTAATTTATGCATTGTCGCGAAGTAGAGATACAGGATAAAGATGCGGGGGATATTGCGAGTCTAGTGAGGGATGTACCATCGAAGTATCATTATTGTCAATGGGGTTTATTTGCGACCAATTTATTTGCGAGTTACCTGTTCGTCATAGAAACTAATAAGCAAATGGAAATTCTGTGAGAGGAATACAATTGACCCATGAACGCGTACATAGAAAAAAGACTCAGTTCCTGCAACTGGACAGGGACCAGATTTAAAAGAATATGCTTAAGGCAATCTATAGAACAAGAGTATCTAGTATAAAAATCTATGATTCTATCGGTATCTATAAACACACAGTATAAATTACGATATCTATAAATATGGTATGAAAATACATTCGTTATGATTCCGACTGATAAACTCGAAACTCGAAACAGGGAACGGTAAATTCCATCGTAGGTTTTACTATCGGCGGGACGTATTAACTCGAACCTTACTGCAGCAAATTGAAGGCAGAGTAGGACGTCTTCAAAATCTACGTAAGTACGAAGAATCAGCATTTGATTTATAGCATTTTATTAAATCCGTATCGTGTGTTTCTGAACTGTGCGTGTTTCTAAGTCTTACGCCACTATCTTATTGTATACTCACCGACATGAAAGTGTTGAGGATCAAATCGGAAAATCCATAGAAGGAGAGTATCCTGCCTCGCTGGCTTATCAACATCACGAGCATCAAACTTTTACGTTGCTTGGCCGACACTGCCATCCAGTTACTGACATAGATTGCGTAGGCGACGCTTTTCATCTAGATCGAACAGATACGACTGTTGACACACAGGAAGATTATCAAGTAACAAGGAAAATTATCAAGAAACAAGATTCATCATCATCGATACCTTCAAGTCGAGCTCATTACCGTACCAGCAATACAACAATATTTCAAACAACATTGATCCTAGATACACTATAAAAGTGAAGAACTCAGGACTGAACATCTCTTTCTGCAATAAACACATTAATTCGCAATTTCCCGTTGACCGGGGACTAGAGGAAAATTAGATTGTAAGAACAGAAAGATTAATGTAAGAACCCAGACAGCACAAATGTTCAAAATCGGGACATGAGACTTTGGTCTTTTGGACGTCTTGAAGTCGTGTTTAAAATATCGTGAAATAAGACGTCTTTAAGATGTTTTTAAGATGTTTAAAAGACGTCTTATTTCGATTTTGGACATCCGATTGGATTCTGATTTTGGACATTGTACTGTCTGGGAATTATCTTCCCAATTAATTATTGAGTTGTCTCAACCGACTTTGAATGCAGCTGAATATTTACAGGAATGTTCTCAGTCATGGTAATAGATTTTTCATTTCTTGTCCCCGAGTTTCTGTTTGATCCCTATTTATATACAAGAACTGAGTTTTTTGTGATAAAACGAACACGTTATAATAAAACGCATAGAGGTGCTGCGCACTTACTTTGGACATCTGGTAGATACTGGTGCAAAGAGTGACGAGGCTGAATAAGAAGAGAACAGCGATGGTCCACATGAACAGCGACTGAATTTTGTATATAATGTTGTACACCGAGATATGATGGCTCACGCATTCCGCGATAGCGAGGTTCTCGATGACATCGATTTCCCTCCGTTCAATCTTGTTCTCGCGGAGACACATGAACGTCTCCGTCATTCGATGGCACATGAGCTCGATTTGCCCGCAGGTTTGAATAATGAGGCCGTAAACGAGGGAATCGAAAGTCGAGTTCAACATTATCCCGTAAATTAGTACCGCGACTTGCTGGAGATAAGTCAACACGTAAGGACCCAACGCCGCGATGGAGTACGGTACGTACGCTTTAAGTGGCAAACGTCTTTCTTCTATAGCCCAGAGGGGCATTGCGAGAAGAAACAAGCCTGTTACTTGACATATGATGAGGAAGAACCAAGTGGTCTGCTTAGCTTCGTTCGCAGTGTGCGTTATGGCAAAAATGGAGTTTGAAAAACAGCAAGTTAAAATTCTGCCGAGCGCAACGATGACTTCGTAAGTATATTTATTCTTTGGTCACGATAAAATAAAATATCTCGGTAAAATAAAAATATCTCTATAAATGTCAAATATCTGAGAAATGGGATTTGTGTATGTATCTTTATTATGTGCGTTATATTTCCTTAGTAGAATTTCTTTATTATGTGCGTTATATTTCCTTAGTAGAATTCAAATTAATAGGGAAAAACCTACCTAAACCGACATATCATTTTGTTTTCGGATTCTAAGGCGCTGTCGAAAACATAAAATTAAAATTTACGTGCGTAAATGCAAACAAGCAACACTTCTCTACTACGACATACGACAGTCTTATGAAAATCACATTACATATTTTCCTGCAAATAATTTTTTTTTACGCTTTTAGAAACTAGGTGCTAAAGTCGACATACCCATGATACCTATACGGAATTATAAAAAAAATAAAATAACATACTGAAAATATATTATTTTGTATATTTATTATATTTCTTTACATGCTATCTTTAATCTTACATGTTTTTTATTATGTAGAAAGGGATTCGCTGATTTTTTCAGACTATATTAAGCAAAAAAATACGAAAAATCAGTCAAATGTTAGCTTCAACTGTTCTTTGCATAATTAGTTGTATACTGATGCAATACTCTGTACATAATAATACACTTATTTTGCACGACAGAGTTAAATTTTTTTCACAGCTGAGAAACATGGGTATGTCAGTTTACTATACCTACGTCAGTTTTGGTGGTTTTTCCTTTAACATTTTGTACTTTACTCAATGAAATTGTCGACCGTTTAACATACTGAAATTAACAAGAATACCTTTGCGATTATATTGCTTCAGTATTGATTCTTCCGCGCTGTTCCTTGGTTGACATACCTTGGCGCGAAAGCAATCCAACAAGGCACGCATTTCGAACTGTCGCACCAAAAAGTTCAGATACTTCAGACACAGGCTCAGGTAAGTTAGGGTGACGAACAAAACTTCCGTTAATTCGTCGATGCTGTCTCTTATACGTATGAGCTCGATTATTTCGGATGCCGTAAAATGATATATTAAAATGACGATGGTGTACCTATTGGAATTACGTGACGGAAGAAACGGAAGAAGAACGTGTTCAATGTTGAAGAATCTGTATCAATCGAATGACGAGTACAGATGGAATCGATTTCAACGTATCAACAATACCGTTTTTTTATTGGCTCCGTTTTTGCCAGCGATACGTATATATAAGTACCGTAAATACTACCGTACCTGTAACAAAAGCTAATGAGGCGTAATATCAAGTTGCTATCTTTCCACTCCTTCCATGCGCCGCAGAAGCGAAACACGTAGAAATTCACGGGCAATAAGTCCATATTTTGAGCGTTGCGTTCAACAACAGAAAATTTCTTCCCGACAACGACGAAACGTAGCGTATCATCAGCCTGGAATTTTGTGACGATTCCAGACGACGATGTGCCTGCATTAGTAACGACGTCTACAGTGTACGGCGTTATTAGCGCCCATTAATTTTTAATGACGTGCGCCAGGCAAGGTACTTGCTATTTACCGACTCCGCTTGCTGTATTATCATTCTTGGTTTTTTATTCTTCGTAAACAGTTTCAGCCCGATGGTAATGCGCCACTAAATGGTAGTATCAGTATCTTCTGTATCACTACGTTATATTTAAGTTAATAAGTTTCACTTATTCACAAGATTCTTTTATAGCATGTCTTATAAATTTCTCAAAATATAATTGTAATTGTAAAACCGCTAACGTGGCACTCATCGTAACAGACCCTTTAGTCTTAGAGACAGAATATTCTACACAACGGTCAATTTTATTTGGAAAATGTTTCCTTCGGAAAACAGTGCAATAAGTATGAGAACCGGTGCAAGTTCTTTCTCATTAAAAGAAATAATTATTCGTCTCTTAGAGTGACTATATTTGACTCAACTTCTTGGTATTGCGATGCAATTTTTCCAATCTTTGCATCCAAACTTAACGATATAAAAATATCTTTCTTCAATTAAGTCGGAAGCTTACTCAACATGGAATCACGTTTTATTCTTTAAGAATGAAACACAAAAAAGTGTGCTTGAAGCAATCTACAAAATAAAAGCATCTAGTATAAAAATATCTATAATATTTTCTATCGATATAAACATACAATATAAACTACGATATCTATAAACATGGTACGAAAATACATTCGATATGATTCCGACTGATAAACTCGAAACGGAAAATTCCATTGTAAGTTTTACTACCGGCACAACGTACTAACTCGAAGCTTGTTGCAGCAAGTTGAATGCAGAGTAGGACGTCTTTAAAATCTACGTAAGTACAAAAAACAAGCGTATGATTTTCAGCATTTTTATAAATCCATATCTTATGTTTCTGAACTGTTTGTGCTGTATGTTTTTAAATCTTAAATCACTGTATCCTTGTGTCACTCACCCACGTGAAGGTGTTGAGAATCATGCCGAAAATCCCATAGAAGGAAAGTATCCTTCCTCGCTGGCTCATCATCATCACGAGCACCAAACTTTTACGTTGCTTGGCCGACACTGCCGTCCAGTTGCTGACATAGATTGCGTTTGCGACACTTTTATTCTAGATCATACGGATAGGACTCTTAACACCAGAAAAATTGTCAGGTAACAAGATTTACCATCAACGATACCTTTAAATCGAGCTCATTACCGTACCAGCAATAAGAGAATGCTTGAAACGACATTGATCCTAGGTACATTATGAAAGTGAAGAACTCAGGGCTGAACATCTCTTTCTACAACAGACATATCAAATTGCAACGTGATTCATGGTGGTTCGATTTCGATCTTACCGTATCGAATGTTGAATCTATTACATTTGCTGCCGCGCTTGAATCCAAAGTTTCTCACTCCAGCTCACACTATATTTTTAGCAACTATACTTGATATAGTGCTTGTTGCACATATGCACACGTAAAATGTATTGGGTAAAAAATATGTTAAATATAAGTGGAAAATTTGTTAAATATAAAACTGAGTTTTTTAAATGTGGCAGAACGAACACGATATGATGAAACGCACAGAGATGTTGCGCACTTACTTTGGACATCTGGTAAATGCTGGTACAGAGAGTGACGAGGCTGAACAAGAACAAAACAGTGATGGTCCACACGAACAGCGACTGTATTTTGAATATTATGTTGTGCACTGAGATATGATGGTTCACGCATTCCGCGATAGCGAGGTTCTCGATGGCGTCGATTTTCCTCGGCTCGATCTTGTCCTCCCGCAGGCACGCGAACGTCTCCGTCATTCGATGGCACATGAGCTCGATTTGCCCGCAAGTGTGAATAATGAGGCCGTAAACGAGGCAGTCGAAGGACGTGTTCAAGAATACCCCGTAAATTAGTGCCGCGACTTGCTGGAGATAAGTCAACACGTAAGGAAGCAGCGCCGCGATGGAGTACGGCATGTACACTTTAAACGGCAGACGTCTTTCGTCTGTAGCCAAAAGAGGCATTACGAGAAGAAACAAGGCTGTCACTTGACACAAGATCATGTAGAACCAGATGATGCGCTTAGCTTCGTTCACAGTGTACATCATGGCAAAAATGGAGTTTGAAAAACAGCTAATTAAAGATTCTGCCAGGCGCATCGACGACTTCGTAAATATATATATATTCTTTGGTCAGGATAAAATGAAATATCTCGGTTTAGACATCACAGTTCGCAAATCATTTTTCATCATTAGTAATTGATTAGATCTCTAAGAAGTGAAATTTTTACATCTTTGCGTGTACCTTTACCGTGTGCGTTATATTTCCTTAAGTATTTAAGTTCGCAGAGGAGAAGCACCAAAACTGATATACCACTTGTATAATATTTCACAGTAAAGTTCAGGTATGTCGATTTACAGAATAACCTAAGTTTTCTTAGTCTGTGGCAGAGTAAGTTTTCTTAGTTTAGTGACAGAGAGTAGAGAAATTGGCGCAGGATCCAAAGTGATTTAAAAAGTTCTAACCTCGCGCTATAAAAAGCGCGAAAAATCGAATAAATCAAATCAAATAAATTATTAGATTGGTTTGTTACTTTAACTGTCACAAGATGATAACTTAACGAAAATATAAATACCATATAAATACGTACAAGAAAAAATCAAACGATGCTAATCACATAACCGAACGCGCTTGCAAACAGAAAGTGCCGCTTCAGCTGCGGCTACTGTACATAGTAGTGGACGAAATTCATATTCCGTACGGGCAGAGTTCAATATTTTACAGCCGACAAACATGGATGTTTCAGTTTATTGCATCTATATCACGTTTGGTGCTTTTCTTCTAACATTTCGTATTTTACTCGTGAAATTCTCGACGGTTTAACATATTGAGATTAAGATAAGAATACCTTCGCGATCGTATCGCTTCATTATTGATTCCTCCGCGCTGTTCCTTGGCTGACATACCTTGGCGCGAAAGCAGTCTAGCAAAGCACGCACTTCGAACTGCCGCACCAAAAAGTTTAGATACTTCAGGCACAGGCTCAGGTAAGTTAGGGCGAGGAACAGACATTCCGTTAATTCCTCGATGTTGTTTCTTATACGTACGAGCTCGATTATCTCGGATACCGTGAAGTGATATATTAAAATGACGACGGTGTACCTGTTGGAATTGCGTGACAGGAAAAGCGGGAGAGGAATGTGCGCGTACAATGTTGAGAGATCTGTATCACTCGAACGACGAATAAACGGAATCGATTTCAGCGATACGAACAGTCCTGTTTCTCCATCGGCTCCGTTTTTGCCCGTGACGCGTATATAGATATATGTACCGTAATAGCATCGTACCTGTAACAAAAGCTAACGAGGCGTAATATCAAGTTGCTCTCCTTCCGCTCCTCCCATACTCCGCAGAAACGAAGAACGTAGAAATTTAACGGCAATAAATCCATATTTTTAGCGTTGCGTTCGACATAACAGAAAATCTCTCCCCGACAACGACGTAGCGTGTTATCAGATCGAAATTTTGCAACGGTTTCCGAACGACGATGAAGTTCCTGCATTAGTAACGATGTCTACGGTATACGACGATTATTAGAGTTCATTAATTTTTAATGACGTGCACCGGGCAAGACATCCGCTCTTTACCCACTCCGCTTGCTGTATTATTATTGTTCTTGGTCTTATATTCTTCATAGACAGTTTTAGCCCGGCGATAATGCGCCATATGGTAGCTTCAGTATCTTCGAAATCGCTAAGTTATGACTTATTCACAAGCTTCTCGTCTAGTGTGTCTTATATATTTTTCAAAATATAATCGTAATTGTAAAATCGTTAGCGTAGCACTGAAGACTCATCGTAAGGGACACTTTAATCTTAGGAAGAAAACATTCTACACGACAGACAATTTTATTCAGAAAACTTTTTATTCGGAAAACAAGTGCGATACGTATGAGAATCGGTGCAAGTCGTCTCTCATTAAGAGAAATAATCAATCGTCTCTTGAAATGATTACACTTAATCCAACTTCTTGGTATCGCGTGATGCAATTCTCCCATCTTTGCATCCAAATTTAACGATATAAAAATATCTTTTTCCGATTAGATCGAACGTAATATCGCGGATAATGATAATATCGGTTAAGTGGTAGACGAGAAGACGAAACGCCCATGGATGCAATCTAACGTTATCATAAAACAATCTCCTATCGAGCACTCTTAATGGTAAATTTTTAAATCCAAGCATTAGTCCGCCGAAAGTCTCGTTGTTCTTTGACGAAGGCGTAATATTGTTTCCAAGTAAATCGTCGGGTCTTCTTCTTCTCCGACTCGCGTTAATCGACGATGGTAAGATGGCATGAAGAGTCTTCTGATTAACTTCTTCATTGTAATAAGATTCTGTTGTTGTCTCAGTTGCCAGAAGTAGTCGCGACAAGTCGTCGTCTAACAATGCGAGACTCACTTCCAATTCCGGTCTGTGGGAGCCGCAGGCTCCTGACCCTTCAAATTTGTCGGTCGTCAATTATACTCGTCATTCCCGTAACTGTTCTATTCCCACTGGCGCAATAATCCAGATTAATCAAGGTCTGATCCCGACCTCTAATTTAAAGCGAGCTGTATTGCCGAGTCAAAAAAGCCACGAAATTCTCAGCCAGTCCTCGGCATTCTTATTATAAAACTATTCGGAAAAGTTTCCTTATCGGAATAATTCAATTATTTATCCTATATAGAGAAAACAACTTTATTAGTATAACTGAGTATTTACCGTTACTTAAAGACTAGACGAAAACTCGCCGAAAACTCGCCTGCAGAAGCAGAGAAATTGCCAAACGGGAAGAAACTGCCAATCTTCAATCGCAATTGAATTGGCAATCACTAGTGTGATTTGGCCTTTACAAGATCCGATTATGAATATCAGCCATATTCAGATCTTATATTTAAGATTCGATTCACGCGTCTCGATTCATGAAGTTGGCTGAAATGTTGAACGCACATACAGATACGTTCAGAAATCCTATTCGACGAATATTTCGGAACGTAGAGTTAGTAATATTTAATCGACCAATCAAAACAGAAGAGCAAAGATTTTGTTATTATGATTGGATTGATAATAAACTCTACTCAATTGGATTGTTCTTTATAGCTGCATTGCTGAACTGATGCAATAAGTTGAAATGAGAAAACATACTTGTCTCACTTCAACTTATTGCACTAGTTCAGCAATGCAGTTATAAAGAACAAACCATATCCGTCGAGTAGGATTTCCGAACGCACGCTACACGATCGTCCCTTTGGTGTATATCCCCTCCACACGCTGTAGCGTGCTATAAGTGCTTCAAAACTGGTGCTGCACCCTGTTCTCATCGTTACATCAGCGTGATCTAACGTGTTTACCAGTGTACTTCGTGAAACTTTATAATTGAATATAGAGTAGTTTCTATATATTACACGAATATTTCATCATTACTATGTCTGATTTTGCGAAAAAGCAAATGATGAAGCATGGGTGGGTGGAAGGTAAGATCTGCAAATAATTGTAAGCACAAACGGGCATTGTCTCATGTTACTCGTGAGAGTCTAACCTCCCCCAGTGATATGTTTTGTTGTTACACGTGTTCTTTCTTGCTAAACTGCATAAGTATACTTGTTCATTAGTATCTTTTTGTCTTATTTATTTCCTAAGATATTCAACTCGGCGCCTATATGCGCCCATAAACGAAATGCGTCAAGTTGAAAATCATTTAACATGTTCTATGCCAGACCATTTACGTGACTTTCAATTCACGTCGCATATAGCGGAAACAGTTCACAATGAACTGAATAAATGTGTTATATAATTATTTGATTTTTGTGAATTGGAAAGTTATCATAAAAGTGAATATTCAAATTGTAAAATGCACAATAGAACAAAATAAATTTATCGCAAAACTAAAAAAATTGAAGAATAACAAGCAAGATAAGAGTAGAATAAGATAGAACACATTGAAGAAATTATAGGTTATTATGAAAAAAACATAACCTTTTGAACATTTTATAATCGAATGGTACGATATATTTTATTGAAATAATCTATATCTATAGGTATAGTTCCGTAGGAATCCTCGCAAAATGTTACACATTTTGTTTTACATTTTCGGTGCTTAAATTTGTAACATTTAGTCTGTTCTTTTTAGCCGAATTGGCTGCGCTAATTCAAGAAATTAATATATACTGAAGAATGAGAATGCAGAAAGCATGAGCATCTCACATATGTTTCAATGTATGTGTATGTGTATGTAGATGTATATGTGTATGTAGATGTGTATGTGTATGTAGATTTCTTGACTTGTTCAGATGAAAAGAATAAACCAACTTTACATAACAATTGAATATGTATAAAAACGCATGAAAATGCATTATTATACCATATGTGCCAAAAACATGATAACAGAGTACAAATAGATGATAAGATAAATTATTTTACTGTACTTCCTCTTAATAAGAAAAATATCAGTTGATGTAAAAGGCCGAATTCATTGTATACTGAGTATACTATACCGTGTACTGAGTACGTACATAACACAGAAAATATTAACGAACAAAACGATAAACATTTGTTACTTTATAAAAAATAAAAGAGTGAAAAGATTTTTTATAATACAAAATTATATGATATATTATCATAGTACTTTAACCCTTTCGGTACATTTGACGAGTGAGACTCGTCATCTGCTTACTTGGGCATAAAATGTATTACTTTTACATATTAATCCATATAGCGACAAATTAAATCCGTCCCATGGGCATAAAAATCTTAAAATAATTCAGTACTCAAAGGGTTAAGTAAGTTTGACCTTGTACTTCAGTCGTCTAAGATAGCTATATTTGTATAATATGTGAGCTTCCTCAGGGACCATCTCACCCGTTTGTAGATGACAGTTTTACTTGCTTGAAATAATTTTACCAAGTATCTAGAAAAGTATCAAATTGACAACAACAAAATATCAATAACATGACATTAAGAATTTGAACCTGATGGGACTCACGGATGTATTCAGTTCATTCAAATTCATTAGGTTCTAACTAGCTTATCTCTTCCTTTTATCTTTTTTTTCATGACAAAGGAAAAGGACTTGGAAAAAATGAGGATGGCATTACAAAACCCATAAAAGCCATGATAAAATCTGATTGCGCAGGTTTTGGATATAAAGAAAAATCGGAGAGATCTTGGGAAGAAATATACAATAGCGCCGTTAAAAACATACAGGTCGAATCATGTGAGGGTGAGATCTCTTTGAATGTAATCGATGACGAATGGAGTCTTGATTATATTGGAATTCCCAAGTTGAAGAAGAAGAAGAAGAAGAAGAAACTCGGAATGCAATTGGAATATGACAATTTTCAGAAATCCTCTATCCTTTATAATGGTTGCTTAATGCAAAATGATTCTGCGACGTCAGAAGAAGAAGAAGGAAGAAAAACAGCACAAGATCCTGTAAATTCATCTTTCGCTAAAGATCCTTACATGTTAACTGAAAACTCGATACTACGCGCTATAACAACAAAATCGCTTTGTACGGCAAAATTAGAGAGAATTGCGTTGCAAGATCAGTCATTAGATCAGTTGTTAGACTTAACGAGAGAGTCATGTAAGAACAACCCGCAGCCTATCTCTTTGCCAGAAATTTACCGATTCGCTAGCTTAAATCTCATGCCGACCTGGATGGCATGCAATCCACTTAAAAAGGAAGAGGATAAAGATAAAACAAATAACAATATAATAACGTTTCAATCTCCACAACAAATTGTTACCGTCAAATCCAAATCTAGGGCCAAAAAATATCGAAAGAAGATGAACAATTTGGTAGATCAGTTAAGTGCTTGTAGCATAAAGGAAATTGACAAAGAATCCAAGTGTGACTCTTTGCGAAAAGTGAAGAAATGCAATCGGAAGAAAGGGAGTTTCAAGATCAAATGTAAGCCTGAATGTTTACAATTAATGAAGAAACACAACGTACAATCATGCACAACGAAAGAAGACAACGCAAATGTACAGACTCGAAGTCAACATAAAAAGGAATATAAGCCAGTTCAACCAATACAGATCGAGAAGGATGGTGGTACAGTTTTGTCGAGAGAAAAATTCTGTGGAATTGATTTGCTATATGATTTGCCACTTGCGCCAATTGAGAAACAGTCCCTCACTTTGTCGAAGCGACGAAGCAGTCCTGTTTCACTTTGTCGAAGCGAATCATCAAAGGATGGAGATATTGATAATATTCCATCCACAGACATTAAAAATAACATTAAAAATATCGTATACTTAAAGAAATGTCTAAAAAAACAGAAAAGTAGGAGACGTCGACGTCCGAGAATATGGGAAGTAATCAACAATATTGCAAATAAATCAGATACGAGTATAGACACTGTGGCAAAAGCCCTAACAAAAATTAATCTCTCGGAAGATGTAAGTACAGCAATTAAAAAGAAGCCTACTCAAACTCATATCACGCCCGTTTAAAAAAAGAAACTTCAAAGCAGGAGATATAATGATATATGAAGGAAAAACGGACGTTGACTGAAAAAATAGAAATTGTAGCATCATAACGTTAATCATCGACGTTATATAAATTAATAAAATTACTGACTGATTATTTTCCATAATATAAGTATCATGTCCAAATAATCGAATAATTTTTAATAGATTTTTTTACATATAGATATATGAGTAATAATAAATCCGCAAACATGAAAAAATACTTAATCAAGAAAAATATCAATTCCAGCTACTCAATTTTTGTTAGTTGAATATAACAATAATAATTATTGAATTCCATTCGCATATTATATATGTACATGTATATACATATATATACACATACATATACACAGATATGTATATGTACAAATAATTTGCGATTTTATTCTTAGAA